GCCAGTTCCATGCTCTCTTTGATAACAGAGCTCCAACTACCACGTATGTGTGACGTATTCACTTGATTCACAAAACACACATTTCCTCCCCCTTGCACTTTCTGCACTTAAAAGATTCAGCACCACACTCTACATTCTTTCCTATGGAAAGTTTAAATTCTGCTAGGCTATAAATAATCATACAGAAGACATAATGAAAAATCATACAAACTACACAGAAGATTATGTCTGCCTTTAGAGATCTGCAGAAGGAATGAAGATACGCTGTCTACAAAAAGGTCAATAATTACCATTTGTGGTATTAATAACTAAAAAATAAGTGTTAATTAAGCTAAAAATAGGCGTCCATTGTATAGCTTTACAGTCTCAGGAACCTCAGCATCCTCAGATGCTCCTGAGGATGTAGTGGAGAGGATATAGGCACAGACCAGACGAAGGTGGCCAGAGGTAGTTTCCAAGGAAGGCACAGCCCATGTATGCACTCTGCTGAACTATCACGTCAAGTTTTGTGACACTCCTTATGTAAATCACCATCAGCCAGCTGAACAACATGCAAACACTTCCTTAGGTAATCAGTTTGCACAGGGATGACTAACCATTTCATTATCAGTTATTTCAATAATTGAACTCCGTATCTGGTGTAAAGGTAAATGACCTCGGAGCGGAAGAACTAAGGTTCAGATCTCTCTAACTCATTCATTTACCTGTAGGATTGTATGGGACCACTTGTACCAAGGGAGCATCTGCCCTTCAGGTGCTACATGATTGAAATCTCATGTTTTCTCAAAGACTGTGTACCGAGTACAACAGAATATACACAGCATGGACATTAGCTCAAGTTCAGTGTCTAATCTGACTTGGAGGAGAATGAAATATTCCCCATTCTCCTTCCTACTTCTGTCTCATAAGGCAGGACTAGTGCAGTCCTAGATCTCTTTGGGAACAAATTCACTCAAAACTACTCAAGAAAACTTAAGAATCTAATCTATATCAACATAAACATAAAGTATGTATGCATGCATGAATTGTAGGGGTTGGAAGGGACCTCATCGAGACCAGCAATGTTAGAAACAAAAGTAACAACAAACCTCATGAAGAAATGGGTGATGTTTATCTCTGCCTGTCAACCTTTGAGGAATAATGATTTCGAATGCAGAAAGTCTGGATGCCTCTTCAGAATATGCACCTAAAAATGAAATTCCTAAGGAATCAGAAAGGGTAAGTGATGTCTGGTGTTGGCATCAGGACAGAGATGATAGCTGAAAAATAATTCTGAGCAGACAATAAATGGAGAAAAGGAGTTTCACCAGCATGGAACCCAAACCAAAACTGCCTGTGCTGCGTTTGGTTTGTTCCATCTCTGCCTGAGTTCTGGGGTTATGCTGAGAAAGTCAAAGAAATCAATGTTTTCATTCATGGCCAAAGTATTCTGCGTTCCTGGGTGTATAAACTAACTGTATCTTGGTTACTTACATTACAGACTGAAATGGTAACTCAAGTTTTGGTCATTCTTTCATATAGTCATTATGAAAACAAATGATTGTATGAAAAAAAAATAAAATCCCACAGCTGTAACATCACACAAATCCCGAGTAAAAGAAAATCTAAAAATCTGACCAAAACAAAAAGCTCCTGTATTCAGAGCATGCCTTGAATAAATAGCTCAGGAATGGTCAGACTGATGCAAAAGGAGGTAAAATCTGGTTTCAGCTGCAGTCTTCCAGAGGACATAAAAAAAGCTACCAAATTAGCTAAATCTCCCATATTCTAACCCTTACCTATTAACTTTGTCTGTCCTTTTTGAAACACTTTCTTTTCCCATGACGGATGCTTTCAACCTGAAGTACTGCAGAAAAAGTCAGTATCTATCCTCTCTGTCCACCCATCTGCCCTCTTCTAGGAAGTTTTAAGGCAGCTGGCCAGTTAAAATTAACCGTGCGTGAGATTTTGACATCTCAAATACCATTCAGTTCCTTCAGGTTTTGTGAAATCACCTTGCTGGATGTGCAATGTGCTGATGTGTCTGCTGGCAGCAGTGCTCTCTAGGAGTGGCTGATGGATACTTGCTCAGTTACGCTCACGTTTCTCCTGTATTTTTTGGTGAAAGGTTTTACACACTATGAGTTGTCTTCAGAACACCATCCCAACTCAGGAAGCTAAAGCTAAGGAGTCAGTTGAGCGTCCAGTTTCAGTTACAGGCAAAAACCATCTCCAGTGACCTTTTGGAAAATTGGGAGAACTTCTCCTCCCCTTTTTTTCTGCCTGTTCATTAAAGTGGTTTTAGTGTTTCTTTTGGTCAACAAAGACACAACCGTTGCTTTTATACAGGTTACAGAGTCAACAATAACGTGAGCTTTAACAACCTACTTCTTAAATTGTTCCCTGTGAGGAAACAAAGAGATTCCTGCTCATTCGTAGTAGGACAAAGTTAACCCCAGCCTCTCCGGTTTCTGTGAAAGGAAACTAATTGCAAAGAAGCCACATGGCAATCATGAATCACCAATTCAAAGCAAGGAGAAGGACTCCTCAGTGTAATGATGATCTCTACCTATTAGATAACATCAGGAGTTTTGAAAACTAGGTGCAGGTAGACTATCATTAACATTAAATACTGCCATTACCATCAAAATGTGGAAGCTGCTAATAGCAAAACAGGCTTGTAGATAATATTGGCGCTCCCTCTTTACTTTTGTCTTTTTATCTGAAATAATAACTTTGTTAACTAAATCATAAAATCTGTTCTGTTTTGTAAGTGCATGTAGAGATAAGGGCAGAAGTACGGTTCTCACAATTCAAATGTTGACATCTGAAAGGAAGCTTTTTTACAATGATGGCGGTGAGGCACTGGCAGAGGTTGCCAAGAGGGGTGGTGGCGCTCCATCCCTGCAGACCCCCAAGGTCAGGCTGGAGGGGGCTCTGAGCATCCAATGGAGCTGTGGGTGTCCCCATTCACTGCAGGGAAGTTGGGCCAGATGACCCCAGAGTCACCAAAAGGTCCCTTACAACTCAAATAATTCTATAATGACTCTATAAGAAAAGCATGAAAGCACCTGTAAAATTGGTCATAAACATACAACTTTCTAAGAAATATTTCAGGCATTACGTCTACTTCTAAAATCGGAATCCTAATCATCAATGTAAAGAAGTTAATGTGGACATCAAACAAAACATTGCTGGAATTTCAATTCTTCAATTCCATTTCAAATCTTTTTCTCCACTTTTTACTGTCCATCAGTGACACCAGCTGCCAGTTATCACAACTGGTGTCATGTGGGGAAGGAGATGTTTTTAAACACCTACTATGTCATGGGGGAAAAAAACCACAAAGAACTAAGCTATAAGAAGCTTCAAATTGCAGGATTTTCCCTAAGCCAGAGCTTCTTGGATAGGAGATCTGCTAACAGCCTAATGCCTAAGGACAGTCATGCCTTGGTTTGAAAGGTCTGCACGTTTCTGGTTGGAATTGGAGAGTACAAGAATTCCTGGGTAAACTTTCCGAATACGTAACAGAAATGAAAAGCTTACCTTTCATCCAACAAGAGTTTCCAGTTAAAGACAGTCCAAAAGTGAGGAGAAACAGGCCGTGCCTTAGCATGACTAGATTTCCTGCAGACACGGTACCTGGCTCTCAGCCGCTCTGCACGGAAGGAGAAGAACGAGCACCGTCTGCTCTGGAGGTAAACAACAGAAAAAGCTCTGATACTTCATCTCTGCTAAGGAAACGGGAAGTAAAAGTTCATCCATTAGGCTTGCAAGAAAACTGGTTAGGCAGCTTAAGGCAAACAAAAAGCAGCTCTCTGAAATGCTGATTGGAGGCAGACAGCCACATCATGCCAGGACCAAGCTGGTTTCTTCTGAAGGACTTTGAGTGTTACCACAGTGAGGTTATATGAGATTCAAAACATCCAGTCTTGCTAGCAACGGATCTGATATTTGAGATATTTGTACTGGTCGCTGCTAGCTGAGCAAAATGTACTCTCTGGAATTTCAGCTTGTTGTTTTCCTTTATTTTATCTCTACTAATATGAAAAATGCAGTGCTTATCAACAGATGGAAATCCTACAGCTGTATGGAACACAGGATAATTCTCCTCACCAAAAGTCTGTAATGTTGAGGACTCCATCACTCTTCCAGGATCAGAATCATCTCCCAAGGCACGGAGCGACAGCATCGTCACCAAGAGCAGACAGTGAACGCTCCCAAAGATGAAGGCAGTGCAATTTGGAAGCGCTGAGCACCTTTAGGAACCCAAACAGGAGACTGACACAACAAGGCTTTCACACTGAAACATTTATATTGAGCAATTAATTTTAATTCATTTTGAATTAAAGCAGAGCGAAGCCAGCGCTGGTCAGTCACACAAAATAAAGGCTCAAGTGCAAAAACTAAACAAAAATCAGAGATGTCATCGCTGTCATATTGTCCTGGATAAAGCCTGTGCAAATCTCCCTAATTAACAGACCTAATTCCCTCAGCCAAAGCACCAAGAACTCGATATCTGAGCTCCCTGGGCTCTCATCCACAGCACAGCGGAAAGAGAAACGCTCCCTGACTCCAGAAGCCAGGATCCTACTGCAAATTAAATGAACCCGATCTTTTATTTATGCTCTCCTTCCTACTATTAGCACGCCGCCTGGAATACAGGGCCTGCATCGCTCCAAGCGCTGCTCTGCTGTGGTTATTTTAGATTGGGTATCAGGAAAAACTTCACAGGAAGGGTTGTTAAGCACTGGAATGGGCTGCGCAGGGGGGTGGTTGAGTCACCATCCCTGGATGTGTTTAAAAACCGTTTGGATGTGGTGCTCAGGGACGTGATTTAGCGGAGGGTCGTTGGAATTAGGGTGGTACCGTTGCACTGGATGACCTTTAAGGTCTCCAACTTGAGCGATTTCATGACTCTTAACTCCCGCAGCACTGAGGAGCCCTCAGCGCCGCCCCGCGCATGCGCGCAACCCCGCCCCGCGCAGCCGCTCTGAGGCCGGCAGACTCCGCGCGCGGTGATGGCGAGCGGCGGCGCGCCCTGCCCTGCGCCTGCCCCGCCCGGCGTGACCGTGGGCTGCTCGTGGTCCTGCGCGCCACCGGGCGGCCTGGACCGGGCGCTGTGCCTGCGGCGCGGGGCGAGCCACGATGAGGCGAGGTGAGGGAGGAGGAAGGGAAGGGGGGCCTCCCGTCAGCTCCTCGCGAGGGGCGGCAGAGGGCCGGGGTGGGGAGCCGGCGTGGCGGGGTAACGCGGCTGTGGCGCTTCCCTCCTCAGCGGCGAGACCGTGGCGCTGGAGCGGCGGGCGGGCGGCGGGGACGCGGCGTGCGTGCTGCAGCTGGAGTGCCGGGCGGGCGCCGAGCGGGTGGCGGCAGTCGGCGTGGTGAGCGAGGCCCGGCACATGGAGGTGTACGTGGGCGAGGAGTACTGCGGAACCGGGCGGGGGGTGAGCGCCGGAATCCTGCAGCCACCGGGGTGAGTGAGCGGCTGGGGAGCGGCGCGCTGCGGGCTGTCCATCGGGAACCTGAGCCGGGAGCGGGCTGGTCGTAGAACCACGGAGTCACTCGGGCTGGAAGAGACCTTAGAGATCATCGAGCGCTACCACAACTTAACCGTACCACCCTAACAACCGTCTGCTAAATCACTGAGCACCACATCCAAACGGTTTTTAAACACATCCAGGGATGGTGACTCAACCACCTCCCTGTGCAGCCTATTCCAGTGCTTAACAACCCTTCCTGTAAAGAAGTTTTTCCTGATATCCAACCTCAAATAACCCTGGCGCAGCTTGAGGCCATTACCCCTTGTCCTGTCACCAGTGAGAAGAGACCAACCCCGCTCTGCTGTAAGCACCTTTCAGATGTTGGAAGACAACAATAAGGTCTCCCCTCAGCCTCCTTTTCCCCAGAGTGAACAGCCCGTCCCCCCAATCTCACTTCATAGGCCATATTCTCCAAGCCCTTCACCAGCCTTGTTGCCCAACTTTGGACCTGCTCCAGCACCTCCATGTCCTTTCTGTACTGAGGTGCCCATTAAACTGTTGTGTGGCACATCTGCTTAATTAGCTAAATGAAAACATCCAACTGAGAGCCTCAGGGGCGGTGTGAGTGATACATCCTACCCCCAGAGCTGCACTGACCTGTAGTGTGCCCACACATGGAATATCAAGTTAAAACTCCCTTGGAAATAGGTTGGGTGTCACAGATTTCTCCTTTCGTTTTGCAGTGAAACTGAAACTGTGACTTTATATGAAAAGTATCTGAAATTGGAATGCCCAGCGACCTCTTGTAGGATTAAGGTAGGGAGCTTGGTGGAAACCTACAACTTCTCATTGTCTTTTTAATCATTTCATTGACTAAATTGCATCATCCTTCCTCAGATTACTGTTATTTCTGTACCATAATCACATAACCAATTAAGATCATTTGGTTGTTGTATATCTTAATAGTTCTTGTAGTTTTCTTTCGCAATTTTCTTTTCATGAAGTTGCAACCTCATAGAGAAAAGCCTTCATACATCAAACACATTATAGGCAATCTGCAGTTACTATATAGTCAGAACTATGAGCCCCACTGTAGATATGTACATTGGTAATAGGAGCCCTGTGATGCAGATAAATAAGCTTAGGAAAATCTATACAGCTATTGCTGAATTTAAGTACTGAGAAGAGTATTGATTGATTTTTCAATCCTGCAAGCACCTTCTGTTCAGTCAGAATTCTTCTAAGAGTAACAACCAGAAAGAAATCAACTTCCCAACATATTCATACAAAGAAAATGTTGAATTGTGGTTTTTTTTTTTTCTTCCTAACCAAAATACCTTTTTTCCTTCTTGCATTAGCTGCTCTCCATTGGTGAGAAACAAAGGGTACTCATCAGTAAAATAATTGTACAACTGAATACAGTTTCAGCAAAACTAGCAACTGATTTTCCTTCACTAGGATCAAGCATAGATCTAGACAGAGTGCAAACTATAATGGAATCTATGGGATCTAAGTTGTCTCCAGGTGCTCAGCAACTCATGGACATGGTCCGGTATCAGCAGAAAGTAAGTGACTGTGCTGCTCCATAAACATCAATAATGCTGTTCTGTGACTTGGCCTTCTGTGACAGTTAAGCATGTTCTAAACTGATTAGGTGGAAAAAGTTTTGGTTGTTTTTAACCTAGCCTTCCTGGCTTATCTGTTGCTAGCCTGAAATGCATGTAATGGATTAAGAGCATGTGCTCAAGGAGTCACGTGAAGATCAGAGTTAAGCATGTTGTATCACTGTCGTCATTTTCAGCTTCACTGTTGCCCTGTTGTCCTTTTGTCCATGTCACTTGTCACTTCTTGTGATTTCTTAGGTGATGGACACGTTTCTTGTTGTCTTTGGGGTGTAAGTAGATGGATTAGTTTGTCTTAATTGTTATTAAAAGCATGTCATGAAGTAATGAACACATAGCACATGCAAGGAAAGTTTTTCTATGCTTTTCCCTATGAATATAATTCACAACTACTTATAAAGTCATTATACCACCCTAGTAGAATGCTGTAATCACTTGGAATTAAATATATAGCACGGGTGCTGTTCCAGTATCACTTTCAGTATGTTTAAGTACTTAATATTTAAACGCATCTTTTTTCTTACCAGCAGAACAGTTTACCTCTTGGAGACAAACTTAGCTGGATATTTGGGAAGAGCTCAGACTTTGGAAGCGAGCATCCAGTGGATGGATTTCACAGTGCAGCCATTCAGACATCACTGCATCAGTCAGTCAGTGAATCTTCGTCTGTCAGAAATCCTGCGACAAGTGAGACAGGATGTGAAAACATAAATCCTGATCTGAAAGCACAGCTTCCTGAAGGAAGGGATACTTCTAACTCTACAGAACTTAATACACAGCAGAGTACAGTTGACCTCAGAAATGATTTTAAAGCTATGGGATCTTTGCTTATGCAGGAGCAAACAGACAGAATCCAGAATGTAGCTGCTCCACAGATGCTTCTTCCTTTTCTTCAGAACTTATGTAGTCAAGTTAATCATCTTCGGCTAAAAGATGGTGAGAAGCATCTTGATAAAAATGTGGCCACTAAAGAAGAAGGCATTCAAACTGTTGGGTAAGTTAACTTTGTGCTTGCTTAGCTAGCAGCTTGTGTGTATTAGCAAGTTTAAATGAGAACACGAGCATTTTATTCTGTTTGTACCAACAGTGCAGCTAGTTTGATAGATACCCGAAGAACAACAGGAGAAACTGAGCTGCAGGAGTGTTGCCTAAGAAGCAGGGTTCTAATAAAGCCTGGATATCTCCAGGTCCTGGGACAGTACTGTATTTTTAAAGAATACCACGTAAAAATAAAGAACTGTGTACTGTGTGTGTAACTCTGGAAATGCTTTGCTAGGAGAGAATAAAGCCTGTCATGTGGGCAAAACTTGAGCTCTTGTGTATACTGTTGAGCTATATGGATTTCCTTATTTATAACTAGGTCTTCTAATGCATAATTGAGTCTTCAAAAAAAAAAAAAAAAATAGAAGGTGAATTTACATCCTCTGTTTATTATAAAATTTGCACACATAAAGTGTGACAGACAAGGTTTTTGCTTATGGTAAAAATCCCATCAAACCTTCATTGTCTTAAGAAATGAGATTTTACACTCCAGCATCCATATCACTGTCATGCTCCTTGTCATCAAGAAACAAGGTTATACTGACTGTTATCTTGCTCTTTTCACAGAGTAGAACAGCAGCCTATTTGCTCCTATCTGGAGAAGATCATCTCCAAAAGCATGGATCTGATGGAGAAAAAACTGACAGACTACATCGATCGCCAAATCCAGGCTCTGCAGGCGCACATAGATGATAGAATGGTTCTCTTAATGGACTTGCTTCAGAACTCAAAGCAAAACAAAATTTCACAAGCACACTATGACTCTAATGAGGGATTCTCTAATGGGGAGAGATAAACATACGTAGATATGGAACTCCAGTGCAAGTATTTTTAAGGGCAGTTACACTTTACAAAGCTTCATATTTATGGAGTTATAACTGCAGAGAACCTCAGTGTTGATGACTTGCATTTTGTTACTGTAATTCTCCACTGTTGTACACAGTTGTTAGTTTTATGAAAGATCGTAAGAATGAGTGGTTTTCCTAAAAAAAGAATTTTGTATGCCTTTTGTGGCTTATTTATTTAAGGAGCTTTGCTGAAAGCCATGTAAAACATGGCTTCCCAGTGTTGAAAAAAAATGAAGTACACTAAATAAACTGAGTTACAGCATATCTTTATGTATGTGTAATTAATTCCCTTTGCTTCTGGCTTGCTTTATGACATGTAGCATGTTCCCACTAGAATGGGACATGGTTTCTTTGTGGTTTTGGTTTATTTTAATGGGACTCCTGATAAAGCTGTTTATTTCTCCATTTGTAAAAGGAAGGGTAGCACCTGCACTGCTTAATTTAAGCTGTATAAGAATCAGGCACAGAGAGGGAGGAGTTGCAGCCTGGGCCCTTTGAAAGCCTTGCTGGCTCTGCAGGCACTCACATTAGGAGTGTAGGTTCCACAAATGATCCCTAAAACAAGACTGTTTTGCTCTCTTTTCTTCCTAAAGATATTGATCCCTGCAGGAACGATCCATGCAGGTCCTTTCCAAGGGATCTCCTTGCCAGGTAGGATGTGCTGGGGTAGGATCTGCTACATTTTGGCACTTAAAGAAGTAGTCTAATGCTGTAATAGGATGATAATAGCAGCATGGCAAAGTCTTTGTCTACAGCAAATGAAAATGAGCCCAAATTCAGCAGCCATGGATGCAGAAATGAAGGAAAAAAAAAAAAAGCTGCTTACCTTTAGAAGGCCTCATTTAGGCAGGGATCTCTGGCAGAAGATGCCCTCACTTCTACAGCCAGCCCTTAAATGAGGTCTGGGAAAGGGTGGATCCTGGCTCCAGCCCTTCTGGTCACTGAGCTGCATTGCATGCACCTGAGCTGCCCTGGGTTGGCCCTGCCTTCCACCAGGTGCTCCATCACTGCTTCAGGCCATGACTTAGCATTTCCACTATAAGTAGCCTTATTGCTTTGTATTTACTGTAACTTGTTGGGATCTGATCTGTTGTCATTCAAAGAGGTAGAAATATTACAAAGTCCATCTTTATTGAAAGGTCAATCTTTGTACTTCACTCTGCTTATTGCTCTTCAAAATCTGGGGTGCACCATTTAACTTTGATTGTATATGGACTTCCTACCTTGGACAGATATTGTTATATTCAGTGTCTTAGATGCTTTGAGCAAAAACTGGGGGCAGCAAGTGTTGACAAGGGGCACATAGTAGACACGTAGAAGAAAACTGATGTCTCTTGAAAACTATCAGCAACCTACAAAAGCCAATTGCAGAGATGGGATAGTTTGTGCAGAACAGCTATCTCATGGTTGTCCCTCTGTTTAACTCATGCTAAGTACAGTTTCAAAATGACTTGAAAACAGGGTGTTTTTTTTTTCCTTTTTTAATAAGGACCTAAATCATCTCCTACTTTAGATGAGTAACATTACATCTAAAGTTAGTTTTTGAAATGTTTTCTGAACCCCCTAGAATAGGCAGTAGCATTCTTCCAACTCATTTAAGATGATGATGCTGATTTAGATGATGATGCTGATTTAAGAAAGATGATGATGCTGATTTAAGAAAGATGATGATGCTGATTTAAGATGCAGCCCTAGGTTGAGGAGTCTGTTTTTCATCTGTATTCTTTTTTCAAATAATTAAAAAGATTGAAGCGTGTTTCCAAGCATTGTTGCATTGCAGGACTGTTAATTTGCTTCATTTTTCCCATTCTCCCCTCTTTGAGTGATAAATCTGAATAGAAATTTGTTACCAATTCACAACGTTGTAGAGCAGTTAATATCAACTTTGGATTTTTTGGTAGCTGTATCTCGATAGGCATTTATTGTGACATTTTAGTGCCACAGCTACCACAGTGATAACGTTTGAAATCAAAACCACAAATGAAAGAGTGTAGAAGCTGTCTTGTAGGTTTGGGGCTTCTTCAGCATCTGTCCTAGTGAGGGATTCTGTACAGAGAGAAAATAAAGTGGAGTGTTTAAAGCATTGAAACGATGTGGTGCCCAACAACACTCCGTAAGCATTTTCTCAGGTATTTTTTTGAGATGTTGACCTGCACTGGTGCTGAAGGTTGTTGGATTGGGGCAGGAAATCTCAGCTGTCTTAAAGTTTTGTAGCTCTCATTTTAAAGCATTGTGCTGAGGATTTTTTTGCTCCATTGCCATTCGTTCCATTTTTTGTCCCAGTAGGCCATGCATACAGTGAGAAGATATTTACTCTAGCACTGTCTCTTATGTTCATCATCTGGCATAGCATTTCTGTAGCACTAATAAACAATCAAGTGAAAGTGAGTGGAAGGAGATTTCTCAAAGTTAGTTCTATGACAAGATACAAAGGTTATAACAAAGCCTGATCACGCCTGGGGATGCATTTGTTTTTTAAAGTGAGTTTGTGACTTGGAGAAATAAGCTGAATTCCTTAAGGTTTACTTCATTAAAAAAAAAACACAAAATTTGAAAGTCTGAAATCTCATTTCCTAACTCTTTACAAATACATAGTAAAGTCCTGCTCATGCTACTTTTGTAACTAGAAGTGCTTATTTTTTGGCTTTAAAGACTTGAATGCAAAAGCCCATTGGGCTTGCAGTTTGAAAAGTGCTTCTACATTCACACAAAAGGCAAAGTCGTTGATCCCATTGCTCTGATACCATGCTAGATCTCAACTGCTGCAACTCACCTCACTTGTGGAAGAAAGGTAATGGATTTACATAAAGGAAGAGCTTAGTTCTTAATTCACGTGCCCTTCTTACCTAGATGCTCAGCAGCCCTGCGGTCTCGTTTCAGGCGGATAGGACCTACTACAGCCTTGGTTTTCCAAGTGAATGAAGAAGTATCCCTCTTGCGCCTGGAGACACAGCCTTCGGTACAGCGAGAGTTCACGCTGTTGCTGTCACAAATTAAAACATCACACTGGAGATAAACTGATGGAGCTCTCCTCAGGAACCTGAAGGCATTAAAGCTGAATCTTCCATAGTGCTCCAGGGGTGGATATGTTACCACAGTGTCATCTTTGTTACAGCTGCAACAGAATTCAGAGAGCTGTTAAAGTGGACCACATCCAGTAGTCACTCTTGCCAGCTACTATTAGCTCTAACCCAGAGCATTTCACTAGGGCTATTATTTTTTTTTCCCCAGTATGTGGGCATACAACGATGTGCTTCCCCCCCACCTCCCAGTGCAATGGGGCACATGTTTTTCCTGGTTCCATTTATGTACTGCCTTTAACTTTCTATCAAATTTAGCTTCCAACCACAGCCTGCTAAAAACAGTTGGAGAAGAGACAAAGGTAAAAGGACTACAGCTGACATACAGTTTGTATTTTCTCATGTACTAGGAGACAATCAAAGTAATTTAAGGTCTTACCCACTTCTAATCAAGTCATATGTTATTGATCCAAAATCAGACTGTGGAGATGCTGTGCAGGTATCAATGAACACCAAAAGGTCTGGGTCAGTGGAATGAAGGCTGACTTGAACAAAAAGAGTTTGGTTCAAGTCTACATAATAGGGGGACTCAAGTACAGGGCTGGAGAATGAATCAGAATCATAGAATGACATGCTAACGTTGTATATTCCCACAGAGGTTGTGTTCTGGATTACATTGTTTTCTGTTACATAAATGACTTCTAGGGTTGAATTCTTTTCCATTATGCATTTTGCAACGATCTGGACGGTCTTTTTGCGGGTGATGATGTTGCCACTTTCAGAAAGAGTTATGATGTTGGTGTAAGTGATGCTCTGATCTTCCTCCTGTAGAAGAAATCATATGAAATGCTCAATTTTCATGACTGGAGAGGTGCAAATGTGTTGAAGTGTCCCAGCCGCACTTATCAGAGGCTCAAGATACCTTTGCAATAGGAGGTATGTTGCAATCAAAACAACCACATTCAGCCTTCTCACTCCTATTTGTGCCATGCATTTGTGCCATGAGTTGAGGAAAATAACAAAGCTACAGTTCAGTCACTCTTGTCTAAGCAATGCTGTTAACTAGCTCTTAGGAATCTTGCTGTCACAGGGCTTTTCTTTTTCCTCATGACTTGTATCACTTGCAGAGAATGGAGCCACATACCAAACACTGTGTTGCTTCTGAATAACTGCATTGTGCAGGAATGAAATATAATACAAAAATGTTGGGAATTAATTTGTTTGGATTACCCTGGGTTTCCTTTGAAAGCCTCGTTGATCGTTAGGTGCTACCAGAGAAAAATATCTTTCATCTTCAAGACGGGAAATGTGTAATTGGGTGAGCAATGTGAAAGTAAATCTGCTGTTAATTCATTCTCATCCTATCCATAAACTGTTCTGATGAGTCCCTGTCATTCCCAAGCTAGTGTTGGCTTGTACACATCCTTTTTTCCCCCTCTTTACCTCCTTAGTTGTTTCACAGCTGCTTAAAGGAAAGGAAAAGATCACTTGGTCTGTTGTAACCGGCCTGCAGGATGGGTCATTGAGCTGTAGGTGAGTTTCATTATAGCCAAGGGAGTCCAGGTAAGCCTTGCTCAGAACAATTGTCATTCTGTCTGAAGAGCATGTAAGGGATGCTGCCATTGAGAGAGAAATTAAAAAAAATAGATTACCACAAAGCGTGCTGCAGTTATTTCTCACCTGGTCCAGCTCAAGGCCTGCCCTTGAATCCGTTGCATGGTTCTCAATTTGTCAGAACCTGACCCTGAAATGGCTTACGCACATCTGAGGTCACTTAGAATTTCATGCTTGGCTCCCAGAATTTGCTAGGCAAGTGAAATCATGTAAAACTCATGCTGAAAATTTAATTTTAAGCACAGTAACACAATGAATTGCAGCATTTATAAAAGGGAAAAGGAAGCAAAGTGCTACTGCAGAATGGGGGAGAGGAAACAGATTTCTGGCAGACATCAAAGTTTTAGAGGCTGCCCTTTCTACCTTGGTTAATGAGAACATGGGTATGCAAACAACCGATAAGGAACCAATAAGGAAAATTTCCCAGCTCGGGGTAAAGGAAATTGCAACATTCAACCCCCATTTTATCAACTGGTGTGGACCATTTCCTGAATATCTTGGGAAACAAAAACATATAGTGAGTCAAAAAAAGCTTATCTTTAGATCTCTGGAAGGGCAACATTTCCTATTGTGTCCCAGAGAAGGAGAAAAATCATGTTTTTTGTGGAGATGTCCAGAAGGAGGACCAGAAGGACTGAACAAAATGCTTTGTTTTGAAGATAGATCAGGGAATAACTTATAGTCTATCGGAGAAACTAATGTGGGTTTTTTGTACTTTAAAAGAGTTAATGACTGCCACAATAAAGGCTGAAATCCTCAGGATCAACTGTCAGATCTTTTTGACTTTTATCATGGAGGGGAAGATTCGTATGTGAAAATGAGAAGCAAATTCTCACTCATAGCAAATACACTTACTGTCAGGCTCTGGGAGACTTGGCAGAATGCTGGTATATCGAGCAGAAAACCCTCTGTAGGAGTTGGCATAGTCTGTAGACAGCACGACTGTCATGACATTTGAAGAAGATTCAAACGTGGGCCGAGAAACACCGCATACTTTTCCAATTAGGCCAGTGTTAGTGGTGAGGCCGTCGTAGACTGCCAGAAAATCAAACTGGCAGTGCTGATCTAGTTCCAGGCTATAAACAGAAAAACATAATTATTGTACTGGGAAGTCTGAAAACTCCCTCAGTCTTGAGGCTTTTCTCCACGCATTATGTCAATCGATGCTGCCATCCCACTGACACAGGGGATCAACCTTGATAAAAAGCAGTGAGGGCCAGGATGACCCACAAATGCTGTTTTAAAACATGACCTTTATGTAGCAAAAGACTTAAAACTGTTGAATTTAAATTCAGATCAACCACAATAGCTTATGGAGAGTCACCTCTTCTTGCTTGCCTGTCTTGCTGCCTGACTCTGCAACAGCTAAGGGGTAGCACATAGGGATTTGGAACGTGTTGCGATTACCTGAACATAAAAGTCAGCAAATCACATTTGTTTTCAAGGTGTATAGATATTCTTACATGTCTTAGATAATATTATAGATATTACATATTATACACACGATAATATCTTACATATTATAGATAAGCTTACAAATACTTTTGCTTGCTGTATTTGAAGTAATGCTTCTGAACACAATGAAAGAAGAGTAACGGTGCATAGTAAGCGTGTAGTAAGTATCTACTCACAACAAATCCTGAAATTCTAAGCTTATCTTCGAGTTTTCTGTAGTCTGTATGTGCCAGACACAATAGGTAAACTCAGGGTAAGCTGCTGGGTAGTTGGGGCTGGTAAATGTCCCACTGGGACCAGTCAAGTTTCCCCCACAGTTTTCAACTGCTGAAAGGAAGAGCAGACACAGTGGTTAACACAATGGTGTATGTGTAATGAGCCATAAAAAATAAATTCTAAAGGTACAGCAGGGTTGCTTTTCTAGGATTCCATTCCTGTAGAAACGAATAAAGGCACTAAAGATAACATTTCTATAAATTTGAGGGAATTTCAGGTCAGGTGGCATCTCATAATTCATTATAAAATGGAGCCTGTTAGCACATGTGCATCAAAGCGCCGTGTAAAGGAAACTGAAACGGCTGTAGATGAGTTGACTTTGGTACTGTGGACAACTGAATTGAATTCACTTTGGGGGTAAGTTAGTGCTTTGAAAAATGAATACTGAGAAGACTGCACCAACCAAAAGAAACCCTGAGTGACTTGGTTAGAGAAATCTTGGTCATGGTCTGCATGGAAGTGCAAGGTCTTCATGTTTGACTGATAGGCAAAGGCAGAATAAAATCAAGACAGCGGAAAACTCAAAAAGAAAACACAGGCTGTAAACATAGGGTGTGTTTTTCCAGTAGCAGAGTTAATTAAACACTGGAGCAGTGTAAGCAAGGATGTGACAAGTTCTCTCTCCAGTTGAAGCTTTCAGGTGTTGGGTACCATGCCACTCAGATCAACAGGAACAAAGGAACTGATCGAGAGCTAGGGCTGGTTATTATTATTTTTCCTTCAGAATAAGAATATATTGAACAAATGCAGAGAACTTACTGGATGAAACTTTGCCTTATAAGCTTTCCTTCAGTGGTACAGCTTAAATGGTGTTTAATGACTGCATTAAGTTCCGGCTTACCTGTTTCTGGTGAGAAGAAGTAATAGAAGACAAAGAAGTTTCGTGTGAAATCCACAGAGTTTGTTGTAATGAGAAAAGTCAGACTGTTTGAAGATGACTGGAACACTGGGACGGCGTCAGTGTTGTTACATACAACTCCTCTTACAACTTACATCCATCTCCTCCATTTCTTGTCCAAGAAGAGGTGAATTAGGTGAGGCACCATCATAGACTTCAATATTTTCTGTTTCACAGCTTGAGGAAGGATTGAATCTATTTAAAAAAACAAACACAAACAGAACAGATAAATATGCAGGTTCCTTGGGGTATACAAACTCAGTAAGCATTTTACTGAAGCAAATACAGATAAATATTTGGAGGTTACAATGTCTTGAGATGAAATTAAGATATTCAGCCTGATACATTTCAATATTTTTCTGTGCTCTGTTTTGATGGAACGAAATGCTACCGGAACAGCTGGAGGAGATACTTACTTGAAATACGAGAAGATGAGCCTAATTGTTTGATTATCACTCCTCTGAATGTGCCAGACACAGTTTGCATTTGAATTGAGGTCAATCTTTAATGCTTGCTTTATGTCTGAGAGCGAAGCACCGCATTGAAGATCTGTTGGGGAACAGAGGACAGCAACCAGCTCAGCCTTGCAACAAGGTCTCATCCTGCACTGTGCAAACTCTGGGACAGTCCACGCAGAGCAGGCAAGCAAAGCATTGTACCATTTTGATTTTTCGTTTCTACTGTAGTAGCCAATGAAACTTGAAGAATCAAATAGGAAAAGAGTATGAGAAAATATTTTTTTTCTCCTCACTTTCACGAATAGCAGAGAAAATGGAGCTAGGGAAACACATGCAGGTGAAGCCAAAGGCAAAACTGGGAATTCCAGATGACACGGGACACCTTGGCAGCTCTCATTGGCAAGGTTGGTGGTTACAAGCACCTCAAGCCCTGTCTTCCCCCTATGCTCTTCTCCTGAGGATCTTTGGATCTAGTTCTGGGTTTCAGCCTTTACATGAAAGCACCTGGGGACCCACACCCAGGGAATCAAAAGAGCTCTTCAGATGTGAGCTTCTGAAGGACCGTGTGTATGATTGGTGCTGCTCACAGTTCTGGTCCTCCATCTCCAAAAGGAGGCAGCTAAAGAGGAGAAGCTTCAAAAAGTGGCAATGAAGGTGAGCAAAGGTTTAGAGAAACTTCTGGACAAGAAAGAAATAAATAAACACCTTAAAGCAATGTAGGACAGAAAAGAGGAGCCATAGGTCTGTATTCATGGTGAGGTGTTCTCTTCCTCTATAAAAATTCAGTGGCCTGAAAAAAAAAAGCACCACTAAGCTGTGATTTCGAAGCAAAAAACCCAGCTTTTGCATGTGGATTTTTGCTGTGGATTGATGTGAATTTTAAAATTAAACGTCAAAACAGCTTAAAACTCTGAGAAAAAATGTCTTTGGTAACTATCAAACACTAAGAGCAATTCCTCTTCTGGTCAGGACAGCTTAAAGCAGCAGGAAGCATTTCCTATACAGCGTCTACGGTCCCAGATGAAGAGGTTGGAATTACTGCTGAACTCCAGAGGGGAAAGAAAGGTTTAGGGTCAAACGTTTGTGTCACATAGGAAACCTCTGAGCTGTAAGAGCATTACAAGGTCTGCTTTGCCTGACTTGGTACCAATACTTCATCCCACAGCCACCACAATGCCCAAAACTGTTTCAAAAAGCAATGCTTTCCAAGTCACTTCAGCCATTAGTTCAATACAATATCAATTTATAAAAGCATGTTTCCATTCCGGAGCAAAATCTCTTCAAAATTGAGTTCTTCAGTTAAAAATTTGACATAACTACTCTTGCCATTTTTTGTTGTTGCTGTTGTTACTACAGTCTTTAGGAGTTACTAACATCTGAGTGTGCCAATATTTCGCAGCAGTATGCTAAAATAAGATGCACTGGGATGTACATTTGACATTTTTTTCTTCAGTTGCCTAATAAATAATTCAAGAGATAATTAAATTCCACAATAAAGAATGTTACGTTCCATACCCATGAATTCCATCGAGTTGTCTTCAGCAAAAGGCAGAGCAGCTAAGAGGGGCAGCAGGAGGAGCTGTCTGAGCACCCGCATTTTGATGGCAGCTGGGTTAGCAGCCGAGGGTTTTCTGCCTTTTATACCTCCTGCTATTTCCTAATCATCTCGTACGGTGTGGTATCCCAGAGCTCTATCTTAATATCTCCGTTGCTTTTTCTTTTTAACTGATACAAATGGGAAAGTCAACAGATGTGCCCTTTTTTCTTCCTCACATGTGCTGCGTAGAAGTTGTTTAACTGTGCTTTCATCTGCTCCGCGTGGTTTCAAAACATGTTCTTCTGTTGGTTCGTTGAGCATCTGTTCAGGTGTGCTGACGTTAGTCTGACATGGACAGCAATGTGCTGAGTGGGACAGACAGCCACGTCCAGCCTTTGATCAGAGATAGCTCCGTTGTTCCCACCTTCCTTTTGGCACATATCCCTGTAGGCTGCCCTGGGCAAATCAGCGTGTCCTTACTGGAGATTCCTCAGCTTGTAAAATATCATAACAGAGTTGTTCTGAGTAGTAATTTCCTGTTGCTGAAGCATTGGTGGCTGGACAAGGCCAGGTTAATGCCAGCCATGGATTTAACTGAACAGAATTAATTGCACTGCAGACGCTTTGTGAGTAAAACTTGGTTTCAGTGTAAAAGCTCCAAGAGCCCCAATTAGAATCATAGGTTCATTAAGGTTAGAAAAGCCCTCTAAGATCCTCAAGCCCAACCCATGCCCACTGACCGTCTCTCATGTCCATCTCCACGGCTCTTGTGCGGTTTGTCTTTCCTGAAGAATTGAAGCTCTTTAAAGTGGAGCATTTCCTACTGCAGCAGCAAATTGCAGAGTTTAAAGCTTCCACAGGCTGTGATGCTGACAGTGCCACAGACGGCCTTTTTGTTTGGCATATGCCCAGCAGGGCAGATTGGGAGCCTTGCTGGGGGAATCTTTCCAATGTGAAGAGGTTCAGCTGTGCAAACAGATGTTCTTTCATGTTCCCTAGCAAAGGCAAACTGCAGAGCAGACCTCTTTGAAACACATCCAGGTGCTTCTCATTTATAACCATTTCTTTTTCGAATAAAACAAAATTCCTTTCTTTTGTATGCAAATATTGAAATACTGCATCTGCAATTACGCTTCCATTCTAGTCTCAGAGCATAACCTTCCTTAAAACAGTCCTCCCCGTGATTTTTAACTGTCTTTAAGGATTCTGAATGTAGCTCTCTTCCTCAGGACAAGATATTTGTACTGACTTTAAATGTGGAATGGAATCACAGAATCATTAAAGTTGGAAAAGACCACTAAGATCATGTATGCAATCATCAACCCATCACCACCATCATCCCATATACAAGAGGTATGGAATACATTTCATATTTGAACCTTTTGATTCCAGAAACACCGAATTAACATTTATCCTTTATAGCCTTTCATTTCTTGAACCCACACACATATTTGCAAGCAATTTTCAGCTGCTAACACCCACTTTATGTGCATTTAAAACATGAACTGGTGTACAAAACTCAGCCCTGGTCAGTGCTGCATCCAGCAGCACTAGGAATAAAACCCTCTGTGGCTGTTATGTGCTGGTACCTACAGGCTGGTAGGCAAATTCTTGGGAGTTTTTACGTATGGGGAAATCCTGTCCTAATTTTGCTCTAAAGGATCTGGAGCCCCGAGCCTGGTGCCAAGTCTGAGTTCTCAAACTTTTACAAATTCTGCACGTTAAGCCCACGTTCAGATGGTGCAATGTGCTCACGGATCAGGCAGAGCTGAAATATTAATGACCTGCTGTGAGTTCCCTCTTCCATCTCCAAAGAAAATGGCTGGGAGGTCTTCAGGAAAGTCCTCTAAAATGGGAACAGGATGACTGTATGGAAGGTATTTTAAAACAGCTGATCCTTAGAACAAATTAGTGTGCATTTTGGAAAACAGGAACAAGAATTCAGCTGCAGTGGATCTGTTATTTAAAGGCACTTTTCCTCACTGCCTGTGGCTGGGAGTGCAATAGCAGAGAAAATGTGACTTCAAGCACTTTAAATCATTACCTGTGAGAAGCAGAACAGCAGGGTTACCAGCACAGTGGAGTTCTATGTGAATGAAGTGCAATTAGGAAATACTCCAGCTCAGGACTGAAATCTCAGCCATTTTCTTACCAGGCATTACAGTCCCTCTGGTTTAGGATTGGCATTAAGTGGAGCAGCCCTGGGCAGAGCCACCTCAACAGAGACCTGGTCAGATCAGATCTAAGCATCACACAGAGCATCTCATTATGAGTTTGAGCAATTTGCAGATATTCACTGCATGGAAACTGAGTACTGGCCTTCAAGATGCTTTTTTCATCCCAACAAAGCTCACCACGTTACCAAAGTTTAATAAATCTCTTTCCTGTAGAGTTCTGTGGTGACTTTCAAGACACTTTTCTCTATTATAAACTGAAAGTTACTCTTCTCCCTGTTTTCACTATGTCATTCCAATAGGGCAATTTAACATATTGAGTTAAACACATTCCTGGCTCAAAGTAATACAGTTGGAACAGATATTGAAAGTAAAGGGATGAAACAAATACGTATATCATGAAGAAAATATATATTTTTTTTTCAGGTCTAATCTCCAGCAATAAAAACTGACATGGAAAATGGGAATAGGTCATAGGTATTGGAGAGATTACAGCTCTGGGCATGGACAATATTTCTTCAAAAACTGTTGAGCTCCTATTTAAAATAATTGCTCAGACGTTATTGGTTACAAGGGGTTCCTATTCTTCTTGAGCTTGTAAAGCAACACCACTGCTTTACAAGGCAGGTTAGTTATTCTTGAATACTAAGTATTTGAGTTATGCAGTACAAGAGAGGGAAACAGTCTTGGTGGGGAAGAACAAAAAGCTGATCCATTACAGTTTATCACTGAGTTTTTACTGAAGTTTAGGCTTTTACAGATCTGGAATATAGATCCAAAAGTTTGAAATTAAGGAACACAATACAGTTAAGATTAAAATACGAGCAGGTGTGCAACCTACTGATCACATTTATAAGTGATCAGCGTGATATTAGAATTAGAAGAAGTGTTATTGGGGCTACTGTAGTCTGGAGACAACGATAATGACATTTCCACTGCCATCTCCTGTGCTTCTTTTGCCTCTGGCTATGCAGCCCTGGTAGCAGCGGGAGGAATAATCGTATCTGTTGCACACTGCCATCTTGCACTGTAGGTAAACGGATGAGTATCTGCTGATAAAACTGGGGGCTCTGAATCGGAACTGGACAATCCTGCTGTCTGGTGAAAAGTAGCTCCTATAGGTTGGGTCTCTGACACACCTGAGGTAAGATAGAAGGGAAAAGGATAATAGTTATCACACAGAAACTGTGACGTGGTTTTTGTGTCATTTGTTTCGTTATTTACCAGCAATTTTCTTTCTATTTATCTGTGAGATTCATCACAACTTATAGTCCTGAACTCCTGAACACAGATGCAGTAATACAGAAATTATATGGGTAGGATGGTATATGTAATGAAACATACATAACTGCCACACATATATGTAAATATATGAAAGTAAAGCATCTGTTGGAATTCCAAGTATATGAGAAAGGGCTATTGTGCAGCCCTGTTATCTTCACTTCAGCCTTTGGCTTTGTAAAAACTGCACAGAAACAAACCCATATCCCAAATCAAACAAAGACACTTAAATGAGTGTCAATTAGTTCATTCTTGCTTTTTTTTTTTTTCCCCTAATAAAATGTGTGAAATGCCTTCTGAAGATTTGTACTGATTTCTCTCCCCTAGCAGAATGCAATGGTGAATTCAATGGTGAATTAAGCATACTGCGACAGCTTAAAAAGATGTGCTTGTGGTGTTAGCTAGTTCATGTAACATCCAGCTGCTTCTTACTAATGGATAACTCAAATGTTTCATAGAATCATAGAATGACCTGGGTTGAAAAGGATCTCAAAAATTATGTAGTTCCAACCCTTTCTATGTGCAGGGTCACCAACCAGCAGCCCAGGCTGCCCAGAGCCACATCCAGCCTGGCCTTGAATGCCTGCAGGGATGGGGCATCCACAGCCTCCTTGGGCAACCTGTTCCAGTGCCTCACCACCCTCTGGGTAAAAAACTTCCTCCTAATATCCAACCTAAACCACCCATCTCAGTTTAAAACCATTCCTGTTTGTCCTGATACGTTACATATTAATATGTTACAGAACCATGGCTTTTTGGCGTGTCTATTTATTATTTCCCATATTGCCTCAACCACACACAAGGAATAGCTTTGAAATGGCTGCTGAGATATTTTCCTTACCCGTTTCGTATGATATCAGATGCCACAGTCACAAAGTCATGGGGATTTGGAGAGACCACGCAGGTGTCTGCAAACAGCATCACGTTTGGCTGTGTGCTGTACAGGGTAGCACGAACAAACAAATCCCGGCTCGGCATTACATAGTATGGTGCTTCCTTCACTACATTGGAGAAGGATGGCGAGTCATAAAAGGCAAACTTGACGACAAATTGCCTAGATGGAGTTTCCTGGTACGCGGGCCGTATGACGCTGGGTATTGTTTGGGCACCAGCATCGTCGTATATTTTGCAGGCAAAGTTTAGCAGAGGATTTCTATTTCTGCTGTAGGAGTTGCTAGAAATGGATCCTTCCACTGTGTTGGAGTAAGTGATGGCTCCACGTGATATCTGTTGAAACATTAGTAGGTTAAGAGTTGCAGAGGAATGCTGAAAACATTTTCTAAATGCTACTGGAACTGGGGGCACAGGCAGAGGAGAAGCATAGCCAAGGCCACCATGGCCTTGCTACCCAACACCATGGCCTTGCTGCCTGGCCTCAGAGCTGCAGGGCTGTGAGAAGGTGTGCAGCACAGTGCCAGGTGAGATAAGGGCTAACATGGGTCAGCTGGATGGATGGCTCATTTGAGATCATTAGTAGCTCATGGACTCGAGAGGGAAAACAGGTATAAACAGAGGTATAAAATCCTAGAGGAAAAAAAAGAAAACCACAACATGGAAAACAACAAGGAGCCAGCAGGGAATGGCAGCTGAGCACAACAAACATGCTCCAAGGAGCCATGGGAAAAGAACCTTCTCCTGAACGGTACCTTGCCAGCAAAGACCCTCTGGGAGTCTCAGTGGTGTGGTGAGCATGCAAACACCCAGCTAGTTAACTTGTGCTGCACGTTGTATTCACCAAAGTGTGGGTTTGCTTTATATAACCTCTTCCAAACCCACTAGCAGAGTCTTTGTGCACAGCTACATGTGAGAACAAGGTGACCTGAAGAGCAAGCGTTACAAAAGGGAAGGGGAAAAAAAGACGAGGAAGGTTCCTAATAATCTGTATAGCTTAGAATCAAGAACTTCAAGAAGCATAATTTTGTTGTAGTCTTATTATAGTGTTCAATGCTTTGTTAACATAACACTGTTGATATTTGTGCTCCACCTCAACTCCTCCAGGTCGTGTGGCTGCATCCTCACATAACAAGCATTAGAAATGCTCGAGAGCTTCTCTCACAAATAACTTGGACTCTGTCTTGGCACACAATAGTTTCACAGCCTGAGGTTCTCACCAGCCTCTGTGTGCCACAGCCATCGTATGGTATGCGGAACATGACATGGTAGCTGCTGATCACAGGCTTGCACCTGGGGTCCCTCAGGTGGATGTCACTTGCAAGGTACCCTCGGGAGTTGATGTAGGATCTCCTGATGATTGCCCGCATGTAAGTAGGCAGACAAGCAAGGGTTGCTGGAGGAGAGGAAGTTTGTTAATAAAACATGTTTTACTGCACAGCATAATGCAGCATGTGTTAAATACCATTACGAATGCAAATGCGGGCTTTGCTGGCAATAACAGCTGGCTGCAATAACCCCTGAGCTGTTTCTTTGGTGATGAGGTCCCTCTGGAGTGCGCTGGCACACCTGGCTGACAGCCTGGCAATCTGCTGGCAGATGTTTCAGATGTGCTATGCCCATAAATGTAGCAGACATAGGCCAGCCTGTCCCTCAGTGCTACACTGGTGCTGAGCAGACATCCTCTGCCGTATACTTCCAGCCTCCTCCAACACACATCTTACCCAGCACAGGAGGGGCTTAGGAAGAAATGTAATCAAAAAGAAGAAGAAAGGAAAAGAACTTACCTTGACTTGTAGGTACTGGCTTTGGAGAAGCTTTTAATGGGAACAAAAAAAGCAAAACAAAAAAACAACAGAGTAAGTGAGAGTGAATGATAAAAATATGTGCTTGTGTGTGATCAGCTTACACAATGATAATCAAATGAATGCAGTCTGACTAGAAAAGGTAGAATCAACTGATCTGAGGAATGGAATTGTCAAAAGTGATAAGAGAAGTGTATAGACTGGAATGATGGCATATGGCTAGCACTAAGGGGACAAGACTTAATTCTGCTTATTCCTTTGTGTAGTCAGATGACTCCATGCTCAAATGCATGCGCTGCAAGGTCAGATCCCTGTATGTTGCCAGCACAAGTATGGATGTTTTTCTGGTGTGGCTGGAGTGTCAATGTGTAGCTAATAGGGCCAGACTTTAAAAGAAGACATTATTCTGCCTTCAAGAATTTGAGGTGTGATATTTGCAGTGTATGAGCAGAACTTGAACTTCAAGCTTTTTCAGAAAGTTAAATCCTGTTGCAGGGAACTTTAAGGTTCAAACCAAATACCATTGGAAATATCAGAAATTCACAGTGACCTCAACTTGGGAAGGTGCTGACTCCCAGAACAGAGTAAAATGGGGAGCTGTGTCAACATGTCATCGGATCACAACACTGAGGGCTGACCAAGTGCTTAAACCAGAATAACACTGCATTACTTACAAGTGCTGATTTCTGTGCTTTGAGGAGTTGAAGAGACTGGTAGAGTTGAGGAGACCAATGGAGTTGTTGAGGCTCCTATTGTGAGAAGAGAAAATATGGAAGTAAACATTGTCTGAATCTTAAATACGTTCATCCCTCATATTATGAATGTGTACCCCACACAAATTAGGCCAAGGATTCCTAGTGGCCTTTCTTGCCTGGGGAACTTCCCTGGGCTCTGAGCTCTGTTCATGAGCATCAGGTTTTTTTTTTTCCTTGAGGGAATCAGCAGTTTTGTGCTAAGCTTAAACATGACTCCAATTGCAGTAAGTGTCAAGCAACACATACCTGGTGCTTCAGACATGGTGCTGCCTGCAGGAGCTGGTGGGACATGAGAGAGAACACAAAAGTTAGAGGCTTCCCAGAGCAGGACAGGTGTAATGCATGTGCAGGGCAGGAGAGCCCCAGGCTCACACTCACACACTGACTGCACAGCCCCAGGAGATGAAGCCATGCTCAGCCCTATGCTGGTGCTGCTGGGATCTGCTGTAATGAGGGAGCATCCCCAACTCCAGAGCTGTGCCATGGCTTGGATGCTGGGGGATACAGAGATCCCAGTACTGTCTGTGATGTGGGGTTGCCCTAGGAGCCACGTGGTCCAGTGCTAACCCCAGGTTATACTGGTCCTGTACCAGCACCAGCCCACATTCCTCCCTGGCTAGGTGTGGGAGCCAAGAGAGAGGTTACTGGGATCACCTCTGGGAATGAATGGCTGCATCCATGAGATTACATGCACTGGGAGCCAGCCAGCACCTGGTCACAGCTTGGGCAGAGATCTGAGGGTGTAACGCTGAGCATCACTTACAGCTGGTAGTGGCTGCTGGTCCAGGAGTGGGAGAGGTGGTTACTGTGAGAAGCAAAATAATGAAACAAATTATTGTCCACAGCAAAGCAAGGACTGCTGATGTTGAGGAAATTAGTGGTTTTGTGCCAAGCTTAAGCACCACACCAAATGCAGTAAGTGTAAAGTGATGCATACCTGGTGCTTCAGACGTGGTGCTGCCTGCAGGGGTTGCTGGACATGGGAGAGAGCACAAGTGTGGATCAGGAGCTGCCCAGGGCAGGACAGGCAGGATGTACCCACAGTGAGTGTGCACAGCCCCTAGGGATGCTTCTGCATCCTGAGCAAATCCATAAGGTCTGCGAGCAGAAATAAGTACCTGAAGTTTCAGCTGTGGTGGATTCAGTTGGGGCTGCAAGAAAGAAAGAGCCAAGCATTAGCAGTCTTTAAATTATCATGTGAGCAAAGCAAAACCTATCCAACCAAAGCCAAACTGACATTAAACTGCAATTAAGACCAATATAATCAGACCCTCATTTCAGTTCCATTGTAGCAATTGCCTTCACCTGTGCTCCCAGGGCTGACCAGATCCTTTCCCCAGGTGCCCAATCAGTGGCTCAGGCCATAAGTCAACAGTCCCGTACACCATGCCCACTAATCATGACCCTAATGCATGCCTATTCATGTGAGCGCTGTGATTTTTTGGAGCTAACAATATGTTCAGGGCTGTCACTTCCCAGAACGTAGATAGCACTACTGAAATCAAGGGGAATCAGCACTCCATGATGGGAGAAATAATATTTGACTACATCTGAGGTGACTGAGTGGTGAAGTGCTCCATACCTGTTGTTCCAGGAGTGGTAAGATCCACAGGCCCTGTGGGCAGAGAAAATAAACACCATCAAAAAAATGAAAGCCAGATCATTGGTTATAAAGAGAGATAAACAGAAGCACAGCCTGGTATCCCCTAGACCATGACCTAGGAGATGTTATCTGGTGCCCTGGAGCAGCCAATGCCACCCTACTGAGGATGTCTATCAGCAGGGGATGTTGATGCAGGTGGTGGGGAGAACAGCAATTCCATCCCAGCTCTTCACCCAGATTGCAATAGGAATTGCTGCTGGCAGCAGAGCAGCACCACCTCTGCACTGTATGCTGAGGTGAACAAGATCCTGGATGATATGCCAACCAGCACTGCTTTTAAATAAAATAACCTAGGTGCAGCTTGAGGTCAGTCAGGAAGAAAGCATTTTGCTCTGTCATTTGCTAAAGCCTCCAGGCAGGTGTGGCTCATTCACACTAAATAAAATGTAGAAGAGGAGTACCTGTGCAGACAACACCAGCATCTTCCTTGTGCAAACAGTCATGCGTTCCCAGCTCCCTGTGAGAGCACTGCTCCAGGAAGGACTCATCCCCTGTGCATTTCACATCATCCATGAGGATATCTCCCGTGCCTTCCCCAAAAAAGGCACTTTTTTTGGCTGAGACGGCATCTCCGCAGCTCAGCTCCCTGCACACAACCCTGGCACTGTTTATGTCCCAGTCATCATCGCAGATGGTTCCCCAGCTGCCGTTGTAGAAAACTTCCAGGCGCCCTGAGCACTTGTTGTCTCCATTCACCAGCCTCAGAGACAGCTCTTGGAAAAACAGAAGGAAACACGTGATTGCTCAGCAGTCCCAGCAATGGGCAGATGTGTTTACCAAAGAGGAAAAACCAAGTTGCTATGTAAAATATCAGATGTGAAAACTTTGCAAGACCTGCCTATGGAGAACTCACCAGCTGGGACAGGCTCAGTTGGGACTGGGGGAGTAACAGGCTCTGGAAAAGGAAACAGAAAAGTGAACTTGTGGTCTTGCTACAGCGGATGGTTAATGACATTCTTCAGTTCCTATGTCAGGTAAAGAAAAGCAGTAGTGACATAACCCATTAATCTCTGGGAGCATGGACTCAAAGAGGAGAAGGCCCATTTCAGCCATTTCACCTCAGTCATTTTGGGTTCAGCAGATCTCTGGCACTGCAGGGCGAGGGGAAGGTGAGCTCGAGATAGCAAGAGAAACATATTTGAAACTGCCTCTTTTCTGCTTTGTCTGAGTACGGCCAGAATTCAGACATTTGCACAACCTGGGCTCCAGCTCTGCCAGAGGGAGGTGGGGTAGGACTGCCAAGGCTGACTGCTCCAGCAGTGTTAAATAGGCAGTGCCTTAGTATCTCTCTTGGAAAGTCCAGCAGACATATGGCCATCCTCTTGCCAGGAAATGAACAGTGCATGTTGGCAAACGGTTCTTTTGGAGTGATTTTGAAGTAAATTCTCTATCTTTTCTTCCTATTTATTCCCTTTGCTTCTTCCAAGTGTCACCTTCCTACATTCCCGTGTTCCATTCAGAACACAAAATTGCTGGAAAACTGGGAACTGATTTGCAAGAATTCTCAAGGAAGTTACTGTTAAACACAAGAAGAGGACGTTTTAATTACAACTGGTCATAGTTCACAACTGATGAGAAATCAGGACTGAAATGTGCTCACCTACCTGCGCAAATGACGCCGGCGTCTTCCTTTGGCTGACAGTTATGCACACCTATCCCTTGGTGAGAGCAGTCCCACAGGCTGTCCTCATCCCCTCTGCACTGCACCTCATCCAGGAGGATGTTCCCAGAGCCCTGGCCGAACTGTGCTTCAGGCACTGCCAACATAGGCTCCCCACAGCCCAGCTGCCGGCACACCACCTCAGCAGCTCCCATATCCCAAGCATCATCGCAGACTGTTCCCCAGCTGCCGTTGTAAAAGAGCTCCACACGGCCTGAGCACCTGCTGTCACCATCTGCAAGGCGCAGGGACAGGGCTGGAGCATCTGCTGGGGAGAAAGAACACCACAGTCAGTGACCCAAGGCAGTGCTAGAGACTGTCTGCATCATTGGGATGACGGGGACCGGTAGCCTGTGGTGTGGTTGGATATGAGAAAGCATCCTCCTCTGAATTTACGTGCTGTTTTAGGATTGATATTATGAAGTCTTGAAGCCATCTTTCCAATGGTTGATCATGCAGCACCCAACGGGCACAGACATAGTCCTCTTCCATGAGGCACTGATGCAGGGAAAACAACCCTCATCCTTACAGGGTTCTTACCATTTCTTTACCATCTTTCTCATCTATATGGTAGCGTTGTCTAAAGGATGAACACGAGCACCCAGAACCAACCTTTCCCTGGGACACCTGCAATCTAAGGAATATGGTTTTTTTTCTTCTTTAAATAATACCTGATTGGTCTTCTTTTCACTCTGGCATAACAGATGGTTGGCACAGCATCATTTCCCCAGAATAGTAGCAGAGCTATTTCTACAGATCAGGCTCATTTCTGAGAGCTGGGTACTTATGGAATAATCCACACATTTATCTCACTTTCAGAGGGAAAGGCTTTTAGAGATCTGAAGTTCCAAATTAGTTTTATGGGTCTGGAGTGTATTTTTCTTTCAGAGAAAGAAATCAGAGACTCTGCCGACAACATAATTGAGTTCTTCTGAGTTTGTTGCCATCATAAACTGTACCAAGTATACACACCTGTCTTACTCCTTGGTAGGTCTGTGATTACAAGGTTTTCATTTCAGGACATTTTGCTGTCACCTGGCAGTCATTTGTAACCAACTAATGTACATCCATTCAGAATGAGTACCATGTTCCAAAGGACTCTCTTTGCCCTTAATTCCTTTTTGCTGACCATGATCAAAGCTCCTTCCATCTGAGTACCGTGCTTATCATTTCCTTCTGCAAAAGTTGGCTGTAAAGAAATGTCAGGAGCGGCGTGCTTGGCTCACTTCCCAAGATCAAGGCCTGAATTTCTGAGAGAGCTCCAAACACGATATCAGAGAGAGAAAAATAATTGAGTCAAAAGATAACGTATTAAACAGGTGCTGAGTAGTCATCAGCAATAATGAAGGGTGTTACATAAAAAGTTTAAGAACTAGATTTCATTAGTTATCTGTATCTAGGTGGGAGAAAGGGAGGAGAAAGGGAGAAAGGAGGGAGATTAAAAATTAAGCATCCAGATCCAAATACTGAGTTAGATTACAGGCAGGAATAAATGTGTCATGATTCAGCTGATATTAAAGATACCAGTATTGAGAGAGAGGCAACCTCCACTGTTGATATTTACTTTTCTTCGAAGTCAGTGCTTTGCACATGGCTATGTGTAAAAAAAATACTCAAAACAATTAGTAATCAATTAGTTCTCCTTAGCCTTTTGTAGCCAAAGAACAGTTTTCATACAGTTGTCACAGTAAAAGTAACGAGTTGCTATAATTACAGCTATAAAGGAGCCTTTTTTTTTTTTTTTTTTTAAACATTTTAACCATTGACCAGCTTCCCTTGTTACACACAGTATGCCTAAATAAGATAAAATTGTTGGCTCAAATACATGGGTGAATAGGCATAAGCACAGCACTTAATAGTTACAAGCACTTAGTTGCACGGTTGTGAGGGCAGTATTAGGAAAGCACAAATACACTGCATATTAGGTTCCATAAGCCTGCACAGTGCTCAATAGAGCTGTCATTTAAGAAGAAATTCACATTCAAACTTCTGAAAGCCAAGAAAATAAAAGTAAATCCCAAAGGATTTCTCAGTTTCACTGGTGCGTGCTGAGAAGTGCCCACTTCTTTTCATTCAGTTGGAATAGATCCCAGTCAGAATAAGTAAGGCAGGCAGCAAAATCTGGTCGAAGCTCTGTTAAATACCCTTTAAAGTAGGAAAGTTTTCATTTATGTCCTTTTGAAATTGAGATGGCTGGCAGTAAAAAGGTAGAGAAACACTGACTTAAATCTGTGCTGAACATTTGTCTGTTAATTTGCAAGACATCTAAAGAAACTAGGGTGGGTGGATCCTAGAGCTCAAATATGAACATACTGCTCAAAATCAGGTTAATGGGTGGAGCTGTAAGCAAATTTGTACCACCTTTCCTACAACTGCTGCCGTGGGCATGGAGGCACAGCTCTGAACTTCTGACAACATCGATAAAGCTGTTGAAGACAAGTAGGTTTGGAAAAGGTTACAAAGAGAAGAAATACCAGTTGCCTTAGTAATTGTTTACCACATTCTGCAGCATCTTGACCTAACAGATGGCACGGGTGTTAGATAACCAGCCACCACTACTGTACTGTAATGAAATCCTCAGCCATTAACTCCGACACTTTGGAACATAGGTAGAGTGACAGAAGGAAATGCTGGACCTGTGCGCTCTCTGGAGGACAAAATGAGAATTCAGAATGAACAGAATGAATGCCAAAAATCAGCAAGTTGAACTTCTACACTGACAGGTGCGATGGGATGCTCATTGGAAAGAGAAAAGCAAGGCACAAAGGCTAAATCATCCTTTCAGCTGGCACAGAAGGACCGTGGAAAAACTGGAAGCCAGTAACATTGGCACTGCAGTGAGCCAGACCAAGCTCAGTCCTGCTCTCAGTGGTACATAGGAGCTGCTTGTTCTTCTCAGCACTAAAGAGGCCTCAGCTGCTTGGTCAATGATGTATATTTAATAAAGGCAGAGATAATGAGGAGAGCTGGGATGGATGATTCAAGAAACACAATGGGCTTGAAAATCACGAGCTCTGAGGAATGGTGTAAAGAGCTGTGGGAAGACTTTCAATAGCCTGAAGATGACTCTAAAAAAAGATGGCATCCTGGTTGGATGGCCATGAGTTGTCCTGGCTGATGCAAAATGGCCCTGTCTGGTGAAACTATGCTTCTGAGATTTACAAAACTTAAGTAATTATTTCATAGACTCATTAAACCATTTCTGTGACTAAATCTCTGGTTGAATCTTTGGGGGAGGAAAACAGGAACAGTGAAAAACAGTGTTCAAATGTGAATAGGAACCAAAGCTGATTACTTTGGTTAAAACAAAAATATACAGTAATAGCTCATCAGAATGCTTTCATAACTACAAGACTGGGGACATCCATCATTAAATGGATGTGTTGCTGATACATCCCAACAGCCTTTTTTGAATGAAGATGTCACAGAGGGCCTTGTTCCTTCACACAAATGCTCAATTTCTTGTTGTCTGCTGTGAATATTCTACAATCTTAATCCAGCCTCAAACCCCCAAGTAACAGCATTAGTCTTAGAGATTGCTTGCAAAACAGCTGCTCTTACCTTCATAAGTTGTGCCTGGGATTTCAGTAGCTGATGTGGCACTTCCCTCTGTGACAACAGTGGATGTAGAAGATGGCTCTGGGGTCACAAGCAAGTTGGGGGAACAAAGAGAATGGAGGAGAGAATGGCAGCAGTTAGGAGTGAATCTTGATGCAAGCATGTGGGTATAGGCTTTCAGGGAAGTGAGTGAATGCACAGCCCTCTGTTCTTACTGATAGGAGGCGTTCACCTTGATTTAACATTTCATGGCAGTAGATCTGGGTGTTAAATCTGCCTGCCTTCTTCTACTGCTGGAGATGCAGCAGTCATTGCTAAAGACGCAGTGGCCACTGTTGGGGCAGTGAGGGATGTGATCCTTGTTGTGTTTGGGAGTACCTGCAGCAGAGGAGTGCCTCACCTTCCCCAGAGGTGGTCAGGATCTCTGGAACAGCTGTTGGCTGCGTGGCTGCAGTGCTGGGGGCAGAGGAGGAAGCTGCAGGGAGGGTCAAGGGAGAGGAAACAGGTTATTAGACAGAATCACCTGAACTGGATGCGAAGGAGAAATACAGGGGTGTCAAAAGGACTGCTAATGAGCTGAGGAGATGCATTACTGGAGTGAAGCATGAATCAGTCACAGACACTTGAGCTGATATTTGGTGATATGATTTAGTTTATATAATCTAATTTAATCAAAAGCTTAAATACTGTTCTTATATTTTATCACACAGAACCTCTTTTTACCTTTAGGAGCTGTGGAAGGGATTTCTGGAGTTGAGGTCACAGTCACACTCCCTTCTGCAAGTGGGATGGTTGATGTTGGTTCTGTTGAGCTTTCAGAGTCTAACAAGAAGCAAGAAATAAGAAAACATGACAGCATTCAATAAGGCAGTATGGCTGAACCCAGTTCTTGATGCATTGAATTGGCTTCAAGCTTAGTGGAAAAGAGAATCCATGTATTCCCTGCCATCCTTTATCCACTCTCAGTGCTCAGAAATGAGTCTTCGTGTCTTTGCATTACAAGCATCAGGAAAGTTTCAGTCCTCTCTCTCAGTAACGAGAAAAGCAAAAGGAACGTGAGAAGCAAAACTAGCAGTGAATGTTGTCATTTGGCAACAACAGTGGTTGGTAGGTAACTTCCCAACACGGTGCTGCTGGCAGCCTGCCCACGCTCCCAAAAAGCCAGCAGGTTGGCACCAAGCAAATTCAGTTTATTTCATTTGTGTTGGTTACACTGAGAGATGGTGGCTTTACCTGATTTTTTTAGCATGTCCATTGATCCCCCTCCCCCAGACAAAACTTACAGTCACATAGATAAACACAGCAGTTTTCTAACATGCTGCATTGTGCAGATGCCTTTTACCTTTCCATGACAAGGTGGGGATTTCTGATGTCCCATCTTCCTCTGTAGTGGAGGTGGAACCTGAGCAAACAGAAGAAGCTCTCAGGATGGGAAATTAAATGTCTGCCAACAGCAATTAAAAGCAGATGTGTTTTGAGGAATTAGAGACTCAGTTTAGATCTCAGGCTTGATAAACAGCTGTGTAATTAGTCTGCTAAATTACTGGAGAGGCAGGGGTCAAAATGAGGGAGATGATCTCACATGCCTGACTGTTCTTTAATTGTCCTGGAGCAGTCATGAATCTTGGACACACCAATCACAATGATCTGGACACTTGACACAATGATCTGGACTACTACACAAAATTTCACGTGTAATGCTACAGCTGCAGGCTCAGGGACATCCATCATTAAATGGATGTATTGCTGATACATCCCAACAGCCTTTTTTAAATGAAGATGTCACAGAGGGCCTTGTTCCTTCACACAAATGCTCAATTTCTTGTTGTCTGCTGTGAATATTCCATAGATTCACACAGTCACATCTTCTTAATCCAGCCTCAAACCCCCAGTTAACAGTATTAGACCCCCAAGTAACAGCATTGCAAAACAGCTTGCAAAACAGCTGCTCTTACCTTCATAAGTTGTGCCTGGGATTTCAGTAGCTGATGTGGCACTTCCCTCTGTGACAACAGTGGATGTGGAAGATGGCTCTGGGGTCACAAGCAAGTCGGGGGAACAAAGAGAATGGAGGAGAGAATGGCAGCAGTTAGGAGTGAATCTTGATGCAAGCATGTGGGTATGGGTTTTCAGGGAAGTGAGTGAATGCACAGCCCTCTGTTCTTACTGACAGGAGGCGTTCACCTGGATTTAACATTTAATGGCAGTAGATCTGGGTGTTACTTCTGACTGCCTTCTTCTACTGCTGGAGATGCAGCAGTCATTGCTAAAGACGCAGTGGCCACAAATGAAGATGGTGTTGGCCATTGGCTAACCAAGGCTGATCACACACAGAGTTAAAAACACAGGTGCTGAAACACTTTGACTGAATTCCAAGTATTACTGCCTGCTGTAACCAAATTGCACACTACTGGATTTTATTTATTTTTTGTAGATTTACAGGTTGGGTTTTTCTCTTGCCTTTATCTGTAGAAGTCGCCAGTTGTGTAGTAGGTGTTACAAAGCGGTCTGTGACCAACGTGGTTGATGAAATTGTAGTTTGGGTCCTCTCTGTGGATACTGAAAGTTAGTGGAAATACATTATTGGAGAACTATAAGAATGGTCATCAGAACTGAGGCACTGATAAAATAATGTATGTGTCAGGTTTTGTGTGGCAGTGGTGAAATAACCAAGAGTCTAAAGCCTACAGCTGGAATGTAGAGACTTGCCACATGCTTTCTCTAATTATTAGTTAGTGAAAGGCAATCAAAGTTCCTACAAATAATCCAAACATCCAGGTCATTAGAATAATGAATTAATGAGGAAAATTGGGAACACACATTCTTCTATGATACTGTCTGGAAAAGAGCAGTAATTGCATGATTTTCAAGTTAAAAATCAGTTTCTGAGCATTTAGGCATACTGTGAGGTGCTAATGGACTTAGATTGCAAAGACCCTGCCTTACCTGTTGGTGCAATCGTGGACTGTTCTGCATCTGTGAACACAGAACAAAGCAAAAATTGCCATTAGCTTTGGCATTAATCAAATTGCTTCAAAATAGGTGGCTTCAGGCTATGTGATCATTGCTTTGAGTGACATCTAAGATAGAAGTGTTGATATTTATTTTCAATTCAGACTCAATTCAACACATTTCAGACCTGCTGGATGCGCTTCTGTCTGCTCTGAACTTGTTGCCTGGCTTATCTTGGGAAGTCTGGAATCAGCAACAGGATGAGGGGAAATGGTTTTAAATTGGAAGAGGGTAGATTTAGATTGGATGTTAGGAGGAAATTCTTTACGGTGAGGGTGGTGAGGTATTGGAAAATGTTGCCCAGTGAGGCTGTGGATGTTCCCTTCCCTGGAAGCATTCAAGGCCAGGCTGGATGGGGCTGTGAGCAACCTGGGCTAGTGAGAGGTGTCCCTGTCTATGGCAGGGGGTTGAAACGAGGTGATCTTAAAGGTCCCTTCCGACTCAAACCATTCTATGGTCTCAAATGACTTCTCCCCATATTCACACTCAGTGCCCACTGCTGCCAATTTTGATATGTTGCACATGACATCCTTGTGTTCCTTGCTCACTTGGTTCAGCCCAAGCACAAGGAGCATCTGCATGCACATAGCTCAGCTCCCATCTGATTTCCAAATCCTACTCTGATGTTTCTCGCTATTATGGTCAAGGATAAAATCCAAATCAATTTTTAACAGCACAATTCATTTTTTTTTACCTGAGCAGACGACACTGACATCCTCATTGTGTCCACAGTCACTTTTGTTCCAGCCGGCATGTGAGCAGTCCCAAATGTGAGATTCGGTTCCTGCACACTTCACATCATCCAGAAGGATGCTTCCTTCTCCAGGGCCAAAGTAAGCCCAGCCCAGGACAGAAACAACTTGGCCACATTTGAGTTGTCTGCACGCAACGCTGGCACTGTTCATATCAAAGAAATCATCACAGACTGTCCCCCACTCGCTGTTGTGGTAAACTTCAACCCTTCCAGCACATCTGTCCCCACCAGATGCCAGTCGCAATTGTGGTGTCTCTTCTAAAACCAAAGCAAAAATGAGCAAGTAAGCATATCAGTTTGCTTATTCCAGGATATCTAAACTTCTAACATCTAAGGCTGCATCCCCATCTGCTCAGGGGTGGGCTGTGTGGTGCTTCTGTGTCTCCACTTGCTGGGGCTGACTGGGAAATGCCTGCAGTGCGCAAAGCAGTGGAGCCCAAATCAGTGCTGTTGATTCAGCCCAGTTCACTTGGCTCTGCTGCACAAGGACCTGTTCTATCATTAAAGGGCCATGGTGAGATAACCAGCTCACGCAGGGGGGGTCCATTAACCCTAACAGGGATGCCCAGAAGGCTCACTCTCAGGTCTACGTCTCACCCTCTTACCTTTGGGTTTAAATGTCTTCTTAAGCCATTTTGAGAATTTGGCCCATGGTGAGGCTGAACCTTCACTGTCTTCTGTTGACTGCCACCAGAAGCCATTTGCTGTATAGAATTAATAGATACATTAGCATTGATGTAACACAGTTCTAGATAAGTTTTATGGTTTCCTGTGCTGACACAGAGTTTGATAGAGTATTTACTGGTATGTGACATATTTTCAAAGTGAAAACCATCCTCCCTTTGCCTGGAAGGACGTGCTTCTTCTCTCATAATTCAGCGGAAGATGATTGTAGAGGACCTTATTTCATAGCAGCACAAGAGCCCTCATGTACATCCTTCAATGGATGGAGACTCGGGCTTCTGGGAGCTGAGCTCTGCCAGAACTTGCTGGGGCAGTAGAGAAGTTACTTATCTTTGCCGTGTTATTACCACAAAAGCAGAGGAGGCTGTGGATCATTTGTTTGTGCAGAGTGTGGTGGTTGTTTTGGCCAACAGCCCAACATGTCAGCCTCAACTGTTCTCTTTGCAAGTGCCTGCTCAGGTCTTCCTGGGGAGCCCAGACTTCGCCTAATTCTGCAGCATGGAATGTAATATATACTTGCTTAAAGGACTGACTAAACCAAACTGTGGCATTACATATCTGTAGAGCAGCTCTTCCAGTCTAGTTCTGTCAAGTTTAGGGAATGATAGATCTCTGTAAACTCATAGGCAATCCTTTGCTTCCTCTATGCAGAGAAATTGCAAAGAGCAAGCAGTGATCTTTCTGTCTTTATACCCATAAAGAAGCAAGAAGGCTCTTTCAAAATTAGCAAGCTCTGAAGATCCATGCCTGATTCAATCAGGAAATTTAGGAGAAATTTCTTTTAGAGACTGTTTTTTTCTTTTTTCCCAAGCTAGCATTTGCTCATCAGACACTTTTGCTCCTGGAAATAGATCAGTGATCCTAAATTTGGGAGTTTACAAGGCAAAAGCCAAAGAGACTTTTCCATTCTAAATTAATCCAGGTCAAACTGAAGACAAAAGCAAACTTATTGACAAGAGATTACAGTGCTGGGATTTTACCACCTTCTTGAAAGGCAGCTGCATCCTATTATGTCTGACTTGCCTTCGCTCTTGCTTTATAAATAATTCAATATAGCCAACCCTTGAATCTATGTTCTATGAAATTATTTCTCCTTCTGGCTGATGAGCCTTTGCTCATGGTGCCCATGGATAAAGATCACGTCATTCAAACCAGTGAGATTATAAGGAAGGTTTGGGCTGACTTTTCTGAAGACTGAAGGACAATGGCACTTCTGCAGTCCCGAGTCTCTGCAAAGTAGATTTCCACCCATGTCAGTCAAGCTGCTTTTTTATTCTTTTAATGTCTTTTTCTACATTTTTAAATGTATCGTGTAGAAGAATTTAAATTCAAAATAAGAGAATTAGAAGAAGAATGTTAGAAGGAAGAAAGAAAATGACTTCTTCAAGCTATTCCCCTCACAGAAGAGAAGCAACGAAAATATTCCTCAGCTTTAAAATCTAACCTGTGAATTTGATCTGAATATTTGAGTTACAAGGCTAATATTTGAATAAGAAGACAAATTAAACCAACAATTCCATCAAACAAAGCTTGCCAGCAATACGTTAGAAGACTCTGCCACTACTTTCCAGCAGGCCAGGCTATATTAGTAATGAATTCTGTCCGTAACATTTCCATATAAGCATGAAAAAATGTACTCACTGTACCTGGTTCACATAGGAGAGAAGTACTTAGCAGAAGCATCCAAGTGAGACTCACATGAAGGTCCATTTTCATTGTGGTTATCTGCTCTCAATCTGTGAGGATTGAGAATTTATACTAAATGAGTTCTGTTCTCCACCAAAGGTGTGTGCTTTGCAATTTGATCTCTCTTCCTGAAATTCCAGATGCATGCCAAAGAAATGATTTACCAAGTATTTTCATTTTACAGGGTATATCCACACATCCGGATGAGCAGATCCCGATCACACCACTGTTCCGGGCTGCCTACCAACATCTTCCCAAACACTCCCCTGGCACTTCAATAGCTGTGCGTTGGTGTGGGTTGGTTTTTCTTTTTTTTTCCAGGAAGCAAAGATTTACGTTTGGAGATTAGGCTGTTTGGTAAGGTTTTTCGTACCACCAGTTAAGACAGTTTCCAATGCATAATTGTGTTTCCAACATACAGCTGTGCCCAAACAGACAGTGGTGAGATTTGTGTCAGAAGATTAGCATCCAAAAATTTTCAGAAAAGTCTCAAGCAAATTATCTCTGCTCTCTAGACATTATTCCTACAAAAAAGAATTTCTACACTTTTTTCATATCTCTCTGGCTCCTGTTTAACCTGAAAGTAGATCCCTCCATCATTCCCCTCATCTGCAGTCAGTCCTTTTCTCACTTGCAGCCTACAGAGCAACGAAACAGCTAAACGAGTTATCAACCAAGGTATAATTGGGTGGGAAAAACTCTCTTGGGGATAAATTAGCAGGGCAAGTGCTGAACTACAACAGCCAAAGAAATGGAGTAGGATAGGGCCAGAAGGTTAAATTAAGCTAAAACTCAAAGAATCTGTATGTAAAGTCAGAGTGGCATGACCAGCTGCCATGCACTGCATGGGAAGACTACTGGGAAGACCAGTAGAGTCTACTGACAACTTACTCCCCATTCTCCATCTACCAGTTTCACAGCTGGTTTGTTCCTGAACAAACTAGCCTGAAATTTTCCTCTTCAGAGGACAAATACACATGCTATCTGACAGTCCTGTGTGGTACATCCTTCATAACTATGGAAGTGGAGCCTTTGTGTGTTGCAAAATATGAGGCATGCTTTTGGATCTGTGAGATACTGCACAAAAGAATTGAGGCACAGAGCAATTGTCAGCTGAAGGGGAGAAACTAGTAACAAGTTTTTATTCTGCTGGTAACAGATAGCAGATCAGAGGAGGAGAGGCAGAAGATACGATAATGCTAGTGGAAATCCAAACTTAAGGACTGAGAAAGCATGAAAAAAAATCATCGTGAAGAGGAAAAATACCACAAATTGTGCTGGAGGTTATTGTTTGCCATTAGCTTTCAAGCTATCTTTTTAGATAAGGTGCTTTGCATGAAAAAATCCCACCTGGAAGGGCCATGACGTACAACTGGAGAAGATTTGCATCTCACAAAGCCATGAATCCACCACGACCCCTTCAGACACAGATTTCTCCCTGGCACGAGGTGATGGTGACAACACACTGTGGCCAAAGGATGCCTCTAGCTCTGCCTCAATAGGCACTAGCAGGGAGAAGCTGGCTCTCAGCTAAAGAGACTAAACTAAACAAAACTAAAGGTTCTTAGCAGATACCAAAATGAACATAAATTCATTTGTTCCATGAGATCTTTTCTTATTTTCTCAACGCGCTATTACATACTGTAGCTATCCAAACATCCATGTTCTGACATCCTAATACCTTCTTGAGCAAAACCAGTCATGTCAAATGTTTAAACTCCCGGTTCCGTGTGTGTGGATTACTTGAACACTGCTGCCATTTCCTGAAGTGACTAAATGGGTTTATAGTAGATCCTTATCAATTTTTCTATCCAAACAGCCGTAAGCTGGGTCTGGTATAGTACATAACAGTTTTCTTTCCTAACAGCAATTAAGCTATTTTATACAAACACGTCTCGCTTTTGAATGAAAATAATTTTGGAAACAAATAGAAGGAACCTCATGGTTCTCTTTTTCAGCATTCCTCAATCTCCTTCACAAAACAGATTGCAAAGAAGACATTGGTCCCAGCAGACATGCTTAGGGCCGAGGGCTCCACATCCCCATTCTTGCCTGGTAAAACTGGGTCCTACTGCAGGCTGTTTTGTACCCTATCTGAGGAGTCGTGGTGGTGAGTATAGATGTGAACAAAGGCAGCAGATTTGTACAGCTAATCCGCAGTGTTTGGTGAGAAAGAGTGACCAACCTCCACGTTAAACACTGCAGCTCTTGTCACGGACATCGAAGGCACCGTTAAAGAGGAGGTGGTGAGTCTTCAGTCCAAAGCTAAGCAAGCAAACTAATCCTGCATGGCAGGAAGCAGCAGTGATGACAGTAGGGCTGACCTTTGTGGTCTTGGAGTCGCAGTGCCGTTTCCCAGGAAATCTTCTTAAAGGAATCTATCAAAATTCACTCCGAAAACAAAGAGTATTTGTCCATAGTGAAAGAGCTTTACGCTGGAGGGTGGGTGTTAAGCTCTCCTCGCAGAGTGCTGGAGCTTTGCTGCACCTACTCCTCCCTGCAAAGCTTTTTCCAGCTTTTTCAAACTACATCCAATTCTCATGGAAACCCGTAGTGTTATACACTCCATAAAGATGGAGCTTGAGGGGCTACGAGCAACCAGAAAATGCAGAGCTACGGCTGTGAGGCTGCTACCGCTGGAGGGCAGCGAGGCACTGTCCTTAAGGAGTGAATGTGTTATGGGACAATGTGACCTAACGGCACAGATCTTCTGTAGGGTCCCTGGAGGCCTTAACAGTAGCAAATACCGTAACAAATAAGCACAGGGCAAAATAAATGATGCATGAGACAGCTACAGACTGCAGGTTGGTTGTTTGTATTCCTTGTCTGACAAAGTTTTGGAGAATCTGGCCCTCCTGAGGCAGCACCCGCTTCATCTTCCCTTTCAGCTCCTTATTCGTTATATCTCAGTGGTGTTGTAAACCACAACACGTCATAGCTCTCATAACTAATATTTGCAAGGAATTTAATTGAGGTGCCTGTGACAGATTAACGAGCGCTGTCTGTGTTTCTCCTAGCCATGTGTTTCTTGTACAAGTATTTAATTGCATTATCTTCTTCCCTGATAAAGAAAACCCTGATGTGTGAACCCGCAGCATGATGCATGGGTCTACTTTTGTTTTGGGTCATGTCAATACATTTTTTAGGTCATTGCAGATTACTCACAAATTAACAGCAGTGAAACAGGCAGAATTTACTGAAATGCCACACAGTGTTGCCACTTGAATGCTGCCATAGCAATTGCCATGTACTGGTCCTTGACTTCAGTCAGCCCAAGGATGTGGCTGCTGTGTAAGCCTGTGGGTTGGTGCTGCTCCTAGCTGAGGGTGAAAGCACTTAGCAGATAAGTGTCCAGAACTTGGCTGTGTCTTGCTGCATATTACTCTGTGGAAAGATGTAAGGAAAGATTTTCAATTCTTTCATTTTTCACATTTCCTTTCTGCCAACCATTCTGCTAAATTCAACTCCAGCAAGTACTGAAGTGCATTTTGTGCACTAACAATGTCTAGAGAAAATGGCAAGGCCAGGTTGAAATAAATCACATCCTTGACAATACAACCTTCAAGTAAGTTCTCCACACTTATGTCAAATTTCTTCATAAGGCAAAGTGGAACTTTTACATGGGAAGCCCTCTTTTGTAAACAAAACTGAGTACTGAGTGCTGGGTACTGCTACCAGTTCCCAGAGGCGTTGTGTTGAAAGAAAGTTGTTACCATCTGGCCTCTGGAAGCCCCCTATCAACGCTTGTGAATCCTGTGAGAGAAGACCTTTGTCAGAGATGGAGGCTGTGCCAATGTAAATGGGTACCAATGGTCTTGGCTCTGCATGCAGAACTACAAGTCATTTAATCCTGTTACCCAGATAATTTAATTGGCTAGCACTCCTTGTCAACGTGGGTTACTTATCTTGACATGTGCCACATTCCTGCTGTTTTTCCTTCTTTTGATGTTTACATGGTAAACTTTATTAATAATAATATAAAGTTCTCCCAGACACTCTCCTGGCAGTTTTCTCAACATCTTTCTCAGCTTCAAAGAAAATCCCTTCCATTTCAGCAAGTGCCATCGTTAGGAATCACATAGAGAATCAGCTATGGAGGTGAAACACCCCTTTGGAGGATCTTGGAGGTCTTTTCCAGCCTTGGTGATTCTATGATTCTAACTTTGCTTTATTAGTTGCTAATTAAAGATAACGAAACAAGAAATTAACAAAATAAAAAAGATTAATTAATAAATAGGGGAAAAAAAATAACAATCAGGCTAACGGCATTGATTAATTAGGAAAGTTTTCCTTCCTGCATGAGTGACTGGGACGGGAAAGGAAAAATCACACATAAAGCAGCTATACAGATTGTTTTTGTTTGTAAACTGATTGCTTTTTTATTTTTTTCCACAGTGCAAGCTTGCACATGTAAAGCTAACCTAACAAAGTTAAAATAGGCATAGGACCTATTAAGGGATCTGCAATAAATGCTTGAGTGGGACATCTGGGAATGCCACCTTCTGCCCCACATGCCCCAAGGAGCTGTGCTGGGTGAGAGGTTGGCAAGGGATGGCTCTCTTTTCCATAAACACTGTGTGGAAAAGCAGATATCCTGTTTAACTGTGACATTTTGGACAAATAATGCAATCAGAGTCTTGGCATGGAAAAAAGAAGGATGCGCTGTAAGCAACGTCATGCAGTGAAAGAGTTTATTGCTTATTTGTGATAGCTTAGAATCACATAATTTGTTTGCTTTATATATGTAAGAGAAATAATTCTGACTATCCTAAGTCCAAATGCTGACTCCATTTGTGAAAACGTTTTTACTGGATCAGTTTTTAATCAGATTCAGTTTCAGTTGGTTTGAATATCTGAATGTTTACAAGCCTGAGAGAGGATTAAAGCACAAGGACAAAGATGGATTATACAAATATATTTTCTAAAGTCCCACATGAACAGCACCATTAGCAAATGTAAAAAGTGTATAAGTGTAGGAGCATTCAATTTGAGATTGTTCTGGTTCTATGACTGCAGCCAGCAGCCTGTTATGGGTGGGAACTGAACTATTTTTCTCTCTCCAAATTCAGGATTGAGAGGCACGGAGTGGAGGATAACACAGGCACTACTTTTTTGACGAGCTTTGCTCTAATTTCTGCTACATGAACTAAAGTTCAAAAACACGAGTCACAAGTACTCATCCATGGGAATATCAGATAGGTAACAGACAAAATCACTGAGATGTTGAGTTCATAACAGATCAAAGTGATTGGAAAGAAGGTGTGCTCATAATTCCTCATTGAGAAATCTGGTTTTCATAGAGATTGCAGATCAATGAAAATGCCTGCTGAGATTTCTTGCAAATGCCTCAGCAGTTTACCAGCCTTAAAGGTAATTCACATCTTTATTTCCTCTGCTTATGCTGCAGGCCCTGTAAGAACAAGCAGAGAGAAAAGCGATCAAATGAGCTGGGAAATGGGAATGAGATTCATATTTGTTAGGTCTTTAATAGTCCACAGCAGCGGAGAAAGAATAGTTTTTATCATGGGCTCGACTCCTAATGATTTCCAGCTGTACTTCAAAATCTATATCAAGGGAGATTCTTGAAGAAAACAAAGCAGAGCATACCTGAGCAGACAACACTGGCATCTTCACTGTGGCCACAGTTATGTCTTGACCAACCGCTGTGGGAGCATTCCCATACGTGAGCTTCGTTCCCTCTGCACTGCACGTCATCCAGGAAAATAACCCCAGAGCCTTCCCCGAACTGGGCCTCTCCTGGTGCTGAGATGGGCTGCCCACAGCCCAGCTGTCTGCAGACAACCCGAGCATCTTCAATATCCCACCAATCGTCACACACTGTTCCCCACTGTCCTTTGTAAAACATTTCCACACGTCCCTCGCATCGATTGCCGCCATTCTCCAGGCGCAGAGCTACTTCTACCAAAGACAGAGCAGAAATAAACGTCACGATGAATGTCTGAAGAAGTGAGTCCAAGGTTTTCCCTCCTTGCTGTGTGATTTGTTGATTTTCAGTCAGTAACAAGTTATGAAATACACACTTTACATTCCTCTTCAAAGTGTCTTTCCAACATTTGAGCTCTCCGTAATCATCTACATCTTTTGAAATGTATCCAAGACCAGGTTGGATGGGGCCCTGGGCAGCCTGATCTAGTATTAGATATGGAGGTTTGTGGCCCTGCCTGTAGCAGGGGGGTTGGAGATTCATGATCCTTGAGATCTCTTCCAATCCAAGCCATTCTCTGAAATGCTGCAGTGTGGAACTTGGCCATCCTCCTCAAATGTTATCTTTTTCCCCAAGGCTTTGCACCAAACAAAAGCAAACTGTGTTTAACAATAGGTACCCAATTTTTAGAATGATCAGTAAAAGAAATGGTAAGACTTACCAGGTGTTCTGGCTCCCTTGGAAGCTGTGGTTTGGGAATAAATATGAAAAACTTAATTTCAGCAGCTTCAGTTGTATTTCAGAAGAAATAATCATTAACAGCAGCAGAACAAATACTAAACAAAACTTTGCTTTTCCTGGTGGGAGTCTCTTATATTATCTGATTTGTTCTAAAACTAAGTTACTTTTTATGTACTATCTTTAATTACCTTAATCAAGATAACATTTAACTTGTGTTGGAAAGATAGAGTAACATTTAATTCTTTAGGAACGGCTTCTAAAATTAAATTCTTGTGAGAGTGCCACGTCTGTGAAGCCCAAAGTGTGAAGTGTCAACCAAGCCACCAAGTATTTCCTCCTCTGGTATCCTGCATAGAACACAGCATTCCTTCTCTCTGCACTCACACCAGTGTCACTGACTGACCACCAGGAGCATCTTCCGAGCACCCCAGACCAGAAGATACATGGAGGGAAACAGAGGCAGCTCATTGCTTGATTTCTGCCTCACCATCCTTCTAATTACAGCTCTACTGTCTTTATTGCTATTTCCCTTGCAGCAGGCTGATGATTAGATTCTCAATTTACACAATGCAGAGTTTTACTTAAATAAATAGAACCACTTGTACCTGAGCAACGCACACTGGCATCTTCTCTGTGCCCACAGTTATGTGTGGCCCATCCTCTGTGAGAGCATTCCCACAGGTAGGATTCATTTCCATGGCACTGCACATCATCCAGGAAAATATCCCCTGTCCCTGGATTGAAATGTGCTTTTCCCAGTGCAGAGAGAGCATTTCCACATCCCAGCTGCCTGCAGACGACCTGTGCATCATTTATGTCCCAGAAATCATCACATACAGTCCCCCAGCTTCCCTTATAGTAGATTTCCACGCGCCCTTCACATCTGTTTCTGCCATTTATCAGCCTCATGGACACCTCTGTGAAAAAGAAGAGAGGAGATAAGAATCTGAAGGCTCCTGAACTGCAAAGTTAAAATCCTAGATTAGTTCTGGAGCTGATTCAACATGTTCCTATGGCTATTGTATTCTGTCATGGCCTTTCACCCCCAGGGAAGGCGAGGACAGCACTGATAAGTGCCAGCTGTCCTCGGGTCTTTGCAATCATGTGCTGTTTCCTGGTTCACCCTTGGAACCAAGTCTTGCTGCTAGGGCTTGGCAGTGTTCACAGTTGCCTAAACAGTTCAATTCCTGTGATGGGATTAATAGCAACGAAAGAAATAACCTGCATTAGATAAACACTAGTGGGCATTTATCAATCAATTTATTAATGACAGTATATTACAATTAGTAGAACAGAATCAAAGTTTTCCCACAGAAACAGAGTTGACCAAGAGATGAGGTTAACCAAGCCAAAGCATCACAACGGGGCCATGGCTTCCTAATAACTGTGTTGTCTCTTCTCCTTGTGTTTTAATATCACTTAAGGGGTTCTGAGTTTTATCAAAGCATGGAATAAAATGGTCTTTTTGTGTGCGTGGGTGCGTGGATGTGGCTCCATCCAACTGATGGAATGTTTAAAATACTGATTAATCCAATAGCTTTTCTTTTAGATAACCATGGACTTAAAGCACCCTAGTCCAATTTTTCACGCTCCAAAAGTCCAAGTCAGAACATGATTTGTAGTCATTTTATTGCTTATGCTTTAGAAAACTCTGGATAGAAAATATTGTGTAAGTATGAAATTGAAATTACCAGGTATTTCAGTTCCTGTAGAAGCTGTGATGGGAAGAAACAGATAAAATGCACATTTCAGTCATCAATTTTTCCAAAAGTAATTAGTTTTTAAGAGCTTCTTTTAAGAGCTTTTAGTGCTTCAACTTTCTTTACAATGTCTGTTTTTATTTCAGAAAGTGTTCAATGACTGGTTAAATAATCTGCTTCTGAAGATAACAAAAATGGTGAGACATGAAATTGTAACATGACTTTCCTTGCCAGCAACTTGAGAATCTATGGAGATTAGGATAGAACTTTGGAGCTTCTTATGCCATCTAACAGAAGCAGAAAGTTTCCAAGGTTAAATTTAGGTAAGGAGCTAAAACTGCCAAAAATCTTAGCATATCTTTCTTCAGGAGAACCTAGCAAAGCCCTGGTTCCTTCTCCTTGTTTCCTGCGCCTGGATTGCAAGAGTCATGACTCTACACCTTTGGATTTGGCCCTGATTATCTCACTCAAATAAATAGACTGCAGCACTCAATAGAAGCTTTGTCAAAGAAAGGCGTGTGGGATTAGGACCTTAAGCTTGTGAGAAGTCTCCTCTGTGAAAGCTGGTTGGTTCTTTAAGGGCAGAATGTGCCTCGGGATTATTTTCTGGTGCTTCTTGCTAGTCTGGTAGCAAGCAGATCAAACTGGTTAATATGGATTACAGGTGATTAAAATGGTGTGATGGCAGTACAAAAGCTGTGGATGCTTTACAACTGACACTGATTAAAATGCTCTAAAAGTTTTCGAAGCTTATCTGGATGGAAGTTTGCAAGAGCAAATTTTGATCACGTAAGAAAAGAAGGGGAGTTATCTTTCCAGCAACAGAACCGCAACTCTGCTGAGAAAAATCTTCAAGATCAGGGGAGCGATTTTCAATCTGACAAAATGTGAGATTAAACCACGTATTTCTCTTCGCAGTAAAGCAAATAGATCAGTGTGTACCTGAGCAAACGACGCTGGCATCGCGCCGGCTGTCACACTCCTCTCTACACCACCCCCTGTGAGAACATTCCCACAGGTAGTTCTCATTCCCTCTGCACTGCACATCATCCATGACAATATATCTCGGGCTGTGAGAAAAGATGACATTTCCTGAAGATGATACAGCATGTCCACAAGCCTGCTGGTTACAGACAACGTCTGCATCATTTATATCCCAGGAATCATCACAAATGGTCCCCCAGGCTCCTTTGTAAAGGATTTCAACACGCCCTTCACACTGGTTCCATCCATTCACCAACCTCACTGACATGTCTTTGAAAGAAAAAAGAGAGTTTTGCTGAACCTTCGTTGTTAGACAAAATCAGAGACTCGTGTGGGTCAGAAGGGACTTCCAGACATGCCTGGTTTAGCCCAGGGCAGGCTATTCTGGGTCCTGTTTAGGAGAGTGTGGAGTATCTCCAAGGATGGAGACCCCACTGCTTCTCTTGTTCTCTGTTGTAGTGTTTGATCATGTCATGGAAAAGAAATAATTCTTTTTTATCAAGGTGGGATTTCTCCAATTCTGACAAGCATCTATTGCTGTGCACCATCTTCTCTATAATCTCAGGTTATTGTAGATAGCAACAAAATCTCCCCTTCATAATCTCAAGACTGAGCAAACCCTATTCCCTCAGCAACTCCTTGCACACCTCATTCTCCTACCCCCTGACCCTTAATGACCCTTTGCTGGGCTTGCTTACAGTTGAACTAGATGATCTTAGCAGCCTTTTCCAACCTTAATGATCCTATGATTCTATAATTCTATGCTCCAGGATGCCCCTACCTCTCTTGTACAGGGAAGCTGCACTCTTGTACTGGACCTGAGGCTACAGGTGTGTCTCACCAGTGCTAGTACAGGATAAGAATTGCCTCCCTTGACCTGCTGGCAGCACTCAAAGGGCACAGTGCTGGCTCATAGTCAACTTCTCGTCCACCAGGAAGCCCAGATCCTTTCTTGCAAAGCTGTGGTTGACACAGCTGGCTCTCTGCTTGCAAGCTGCGCTCCATAACCTTAGCTGACATGTAACGTTGAAGATATTTTTTGCTAAAGGGGAATTAAGGTGATACACTATAGGTAGACAGATTTCCATGCCATGCTCATTTCACTAGTTAGGTGTGCATGTGCATTTCCAACCTACCTAGAAACTCCTGTTTTTCAGAGTCCCTGGGACAGGGCCATGCTCCTTAAGCCACTAAGCCTGAAGATAGAGACGTTCCTGAATAACTCAAGCTCTGCAACACAGGATCCACAGTACTGATGATCTGAACAAACTTTAGGTGTGGACTTTCATGTAACTCTGTATATAACAAAGCCAAGCCTCGTTTGTCCAGACTTAACATTTTGATGGATATAAATGAGGTGAGTTCTTGACTTTATTCTGTGCTTAACACTAACAGAAGAAGAAAGCTGAGCACCTGTTTGTTACATGGCTAAAGGGGTCTGTTATTTTAAAGGGAGGTCCCTTTCAACAGGCAGAGAGCAAAGTCCTGGCTTTTCAATTAAAATCTATCATTGTTTTTAGCTGTACAAATCCAGTTCTAAAACATGTGGACATTAAAGAGAATGACAGGCATTTAAGACACTTACCTGTCACTTCAGATCCTGTGGAAGCTGCAAATGAGAAAAAAAACATAGCTCATTTTTAGGTGGAGTTTTCAGTCACTGTGGTAGCATCTCATTCTACAGATGAAGTGTCACGTTGGACATTATGCTGAGAATAGTGCTGAATCAGTCCTATACAGAACAATTCTCTTTGTGTGGGGACTGTTACACAGGCCTACAACAGAAGCTAGATCTGTTCTGGAATATTAGTAGTACTAATATTCTGTAGGCCTGTTTCTAGCATGCATTTTAGTGCAGTCTGTGCTGCAGTATTACTATGAGCTAGCACAGAATGGGCACAGATTGCCACAGAGTTCAGCTGATGAGTGTCCAAGCAGGCTATTACTCACTGTGACAATGAGGACCACTGTTTGTTCCACCTCCAACACAATGACACCTTTGTGTTCAAGTCTGCAGGGACAAGCTGTGCCAGGTGCCACCAGCACCAGGCTGGACCTGTCCTCTGCGCCTGCTCTGGCGCTTTTCCATGGGATGGCTCTGCTTGCTGACCTTCTGTTTACACATTACCCAACAGTGAAGGAACATCCAGGTCCCAGAAGGAGCAGGACATACCGGCAGATGGACAGAAGCAGTTGGCAAATGGTTGTACTCCACCTGGTAGCTCTCTTGGGCTGTTATCCCGTTTTCACTGAAAAACCTAACCTAGACTGACGTATCTATGGAGTGCACAATTTTTCAATTTAATTACAGATTTTTTGTAGTTAATTTCTGTAGAAATCACTAGTATACACTGCTGAAGAGTAAGGAACAGCAAGTATTAAACAGAACCAATGCTACAGGTGAAAAAAAATTGCTTCAAACATGAAGGTTCTGCCTGTTTTTTTGGGAAGCAGTCTTGGCGAGGAGCATGGTGCCAGGACAGGGCTGTCCCTCATGCTGTGACTGGCCACGGCACGGAGCATTGCATAAATACATAAAACACACCTGAGCAAACAACACCAGCATCTTCCACGTGCGCGCAGTTATGAACTGACCACCCTCTGCTGGGGCATTCCCACAGGTAGGCCTCGTTCCCTCTGCACTGCACGTCGTCAAGGAGGATCTCTCCCGAGCCTTGGCTGAAATTGGCATTTCCTAGGGCAGAAACAGCCCTGCCACAGCCCAGCTGGCTGCACACCACCTGGGCATCCTGCAGGTCCCAGGAGTCGTCGCAGACTGTGCCCCAGTTGCCCTGGTAATGGACTTCGACACGGCCCTCGCATCGGTTCCTCCCATTCACCAGCCTCAGGGACACGTCTTTGGAAGGCCAAAAGTGAGAGAGTTATTTAGATTTTAAGTAGGTTGTTACACGTTTGAGACAACAGTAAGTCCTACCCAAAGATGGCAGATGATTGGCCAAAAATATTTATCAACTTTTTTTTTTTTGTAATGAAGAATTGTGGAATTTAACTGATACAAACACACTGAAAACTTGGAGATACAGCATATTCCTAACACAAGAGGTTGTGGTTAATACATGATATGGTTAAAAACTTGTGGGGATGCATATTCAGAAATGTTCAATAGGAATGCATCAAAATCATACCGTGACAAAGGTATTGGCAAATACTCTTCTTCACAAACTGTATATACTGAATGACTACACTAGGTAAAATGACTTAGTCAGTAAACAAGATGAAGATATATGAGATGAAAATTACCAGGAATTTCAGACATCAAAGAACCTGAAATAAAATAAAAAGCAGAGTGAGAAAGATCACTTTTTTAACAAACTTGCACTCAACAAAGTGAGCAGAAAAGATCCCTCTTTGTTTACTTGGCTATAAAAGACAGCACAAAACCAACTCTCAGCACATTAGGATTTTGTATATATAAGCCAATCTATGCTTTAAAATGTACGGTGCCATGTATTTTTACATCAAGCAATATGTCTCATGAAAGACCCAATTTCACACTGCATGTGGAAATCGTTGCTTATTTTCTCAATGCTCTTAGGAATAATCTGCTGAATTCATCCTTTAGTTAGGAAGCAATGGAAATGGCCAGATGGACAAGTCTCAGAAAGGCATAATACTCTACAGAAAGAAGGAAACATAACTGTCTACCTGAGCTAATTATGTGAAGATTTTGAACGTGGAAGGTAATGGGTAGGTTGGAGTGCTCTCTTAAGAAGTATTTGCTGAAATGAGGAAGAGGAATAGTTTGGGGATGTTCTGTATAGCTTGGTGATGGTTTGGTAGTTCAGCTGCCATTTGTTGAGCACCCAGACCTCATTCTGGCTTATACTTGTAACTGTTATTGATCACTGATGCCAATAAATCTCCAGTTACCTGCACAGATGACACCGGCATCTTCCTGATGAAGGCAGTTGGTGATGAGCCATCCATCATGGGAGCACTGCCAGAGCAGAGCCTCATTCCCTCGGCACTGCACTTCATCCAGCAGGATGTCTCCTGTGCCCTCACCAAACTGGGCTGCCCCCACGGCACCAGTGGCCTGGCCACATCCGAGCTGAGCACAGACCACGTTGGCATCGTCCATGTCCCAGGAGTCATCGCAAACTGTTCCCCAAGCTCCGTTGTAAAATATTTCAACGCGGCCCTGGCATCTGTTCTGCCCGTCCACTAGCCTCAGGCTCAGTTCTTTGGAAGACAGAAAGAAATTAGGTCAACTGTTAGAGTGGCTGCCATCTCTATGGGACCATGAGGCAACCAGAGGAAATGCTCTACAGCAGCTTTCCAAGGAGCATGTCCTCAAGGAAAGTGTGCTCCATTCTCTTCTGCTCACCAGTCTCGAGTTCCTGAGATCACAGACCTGATTTTAAAGCATCACCCAAGGATGAGGCATCCGAGTGTCCCTGTGGCAGTCACATTCAATTAGAGTTATACTGACACAAAGACATCATCATCTGGTGAGGACTCCAGCATAGCATATTGCGTTTCTCCTGGCCACCAGTGAATTAAATACGGAAGCCAATACTCAGAATATAATAGCAGAAAGCCACTGCCTACAGTATTTCACTTTTCACCTCACTGTAAGGAACAGATCTGTCAACCCTCGTGTGTCCAAAGCAATAATTTTGACCCAGGCTGTGTCAAAACTGCCACCTGTGTGCACCATGCGCTTACCAAAGCTCCTACCTGCTTGCTCGTGTCCTCTTTCAATGCACTGTACTTTGTTTAAGCCCTTCCAGTGGAATGCAAAAGAATAATTATTTGTTCTATGCATTTTTTCCAACAGTAATTAAAATACAACACAGTATATGCTTTTTACATTGCATTAAATACACACCCAAGATATTTGAATGGCATCACCCGACCTTCAGTCCTACTCTCAAGAGATCTACCAGTTAGAATGGGCTTTGCTACAAGCTACGAAATGTGCAATATTGATTTTAAAGAAAAACACAAGAGAGGGAGGTAGGGTAGAACAGCATTAGGCACAGTACCTGACCCCTGGAGATGCCCTCCAAGCAGAAGTAGCATGCACACGATGGCCAGAGTGCAACCCATTTTGTCTGGGATCCCCATCGTGCTGATAAAACCTGGTTCAGAATTTATAAGCATGAAGATTTAAAGGGGTGTGTTCTGCAGCTTGACCAGCCTGATTTTATTAGAGTAAATCAGTGCTTTCATACAACAGGGATACTTCTAACTTTTAAAAACATTCTCTTGATTTTTTTTGGCAGGACTTTGTTTATAGTAGCTTGATTTTTCGATCACCTTATCATTTCAATCCCTTCTCTGCACATATTGGCTGAACACTCCCCTTCACAGACCCAATGGCTCAAGAGGAACCAGCTTCGTGCAGCCAGGGAGAAAATCAGTGAAACCAAGCAAAAAGTGCTGGCAGATTTTCTTCACGTCTCCATTTTTCCCTTGTCCCAAAGTGGAGACAGGTGGCTGCTGTGTTCCCATCCTCTCACATCTACACCAGATGTCCACAGCTCTGTGGCTCTGCTCAGAGCACCAATGGAGACTGTGCCCTCCATGCTCCTACAGTCTGCATTACTACAGCAGTGAACTGCATTATCTGCTGGAAAAAATAGGGTTTCTTTTAAAATGCAGTCAGTCATCCCTTCAGACTGTATTTTAGTAGTTAATGGGCATTTTGGCTATTAATTTTCATTTTGCTCTAGCCTCCGTCCTACCCAGCCTTTGGGAAGCACTTCATGTGTTTCCTGGATTAAACACTTCAGGCCTGGCAAAGAGAAGAGCACTTGTCTTCCTCCACATCACGTTCCTTACAGACATCCAACAAACTCTTACGAAACAAAGGCGGCTTGTTCCACACTGGCACGGCTCACAGCGAGTGTTTACCTGACACACGCTGGGGCAGCTTCCAAAAACACGCTTTCTAGGCTGCCCAGGAGCTCGAAGAGAAAGGGGAGCAGCAGGTTTGGCTGTCCTCCTGCATCTGGGGCTTCACAGTCAGATGTCTGAGCCTGTGGCAAGCAACAAGCAGAAGTGACAGGGGAGATATGGAATAACAAGATCTCGACAGGTATTAGAAAGTTATCTGCAGTGCTTTCAAGAATGGAGAACAGGGTAAAGGCAAGAAAGGAAAAAGTCATATGGGACATCTTCTGAAAATATAGGGACTGATATAGAGACCCCAACCTGATACATGGGCTTATGTGCAGCCTCTGAGGCTACCAGGCAGCACTCATCTGACTGCAGCTGCTTAAAAAATATATATTTTATCTGCTCTGATTAGTTACACGTCTACATAAAACTGCCTTACACTTGGCAAGTTTGCGTGAGTACATCTGAGGACAACACAGCCAGAGGACGTCACTGGGGGAGTCTGCTGTAGCCACCCTGCCATGGTGGCAGCACCAAAGAACTGTTCTTTGAGGAGCAAAGGGATACCTCTGGATCAGCCACCCTTGTCCTTGCTGGTGACCTCAACTTGCCAGATGTTAACAGGAATTACCACACAGCTGTGGTAATGGAGCTTCCAGGAGATTCCTAAAATTCCTTGATGATAAGTTCTTGGTACAGATACTGAGGGAGCTAACTAGGAAAGTTGTCCCCCTGAATTTGTGGTTTGTAAACAGAAAGGTTCTTATGGGACAAGTGACAACTTGTGGCTATTGCGACCAAGTAATTGAGTTTAAATTTTGCTGTGTAAGATGGGGGTTGGGGAAAGGCTTTGCCCCAGAGGGCGGTGGGCATGGAACAACTGCCCAGGGCATGGCCCCGAGCTGCTGGAGCCCAGAAAGTACTGAGACACCACTGTCAGATATAGGGTTTGGGTGGTCCTGTGTGGAGCCAGGGGTTGGGCTGAATGCTCACTGTGGATCCCTTTCTACTTGGGGTATTCTATGATTCTACAACCCAGCCCTCATAAAGAAAGAGAAGGAATGGAGAAGCACTCTCTCCAAAGATACAATTTCTGAAAAATGAAAGAATAAACAAGAGAGAGAAGGCAACAGCCGTTCAAACTTGTCTTCTTCAGAACAGTGGTAATGCAATTCATTCCTACTTTACAGCTTGTGACTAATTCACTCCTTTGAAAAAGAACAAGGAAAAAGCTGTTTGGATGGGTACAAAATGGTTCAAGGCAAAAGAAGCGATCCAAGTGTTATTCCAAAAAATGAAAAACAGATGTCACTCCCAGTGCCCTCACTGGGCTTCCTCAGTTTAGCATGATTTTGTAAAAATATGTTTTTCATGTCATAGTTCTTGAGCCTGAAATAGAAAGTCTCCCAAAATACACAAACTGCTGTGAGAATTTCAGTACCGCCTGGGTTTCTTTTCAGCTGGATATAAACTGCCCAAATAAATCAAAGTAAAAGCAAGTTTTTATTGAAATAAAGAATGAATAAATCAGGAAAACTGGCTATCCCTGTAACAGAAGATATTTGACAGAAATTGTGCAAAAATTCCTGTTTGGATTCAGAGATGCTTACCAGCAAAAGGCTGCAATTCTTATTCTGAACTCACCACAGAAAGGGTAGCAGTGGGAGTCTAAAGAAACACGTTTACTGTTTTCTCTGAGTTTTTGAAGTGTGGTGTGCGACTGAGAAGCCCAGCAGCAGTGGCTGTCTGCCTGATCTCCAGCTCAGGGCAAATTCTAGTATAACCCTGCTTAAAAAAGCTCTGTTGGCGTCTGCTAGAGTTGTTTCAAACAGTCAGTCAAGTGGAAATGATTGCTGCAGTGTATTCATTTAGTTATTTAATTGGAATTTAGTGTAAGTGTTCCATCTGGGGTGTTAAAAGAATACCTGATTGGAACCACGAAATAAAGGTTAATTGCTTATTTCAGGCTGGTGTCAATAGTATCTGTGGGCTTGTGTGGAGAGGCATGGGGAGAGAGTAATAAAAACAAGAAAACTGTGGTTCTCACCCATATCCTGCAAAAGCAAACTAGCTCTCCTAAGTCTCAATCTACAGAACTTGGGGATTTGTTACTAACAACTGGAAAATGGATCTGTTTGTTAGCTGTGGGATCCAGAAACAAAACAGCATTTATTTATACCCTTTTATAAATATTTTCATAATACGTTCCTGGGAAGAAGGCCTGCAGAGTCGTATTATCTTCTCCATACTCCAAAATTAGAATAGAAAGATAAACAGGAGAGCAAAGTACGGGAAATTTAGCATACAAACAAGCAAATGAGTTTTGTTCCTGGGCTTTGCTTTAACCCCACGACTGGTCACATAGGTTCCATGATTGCACTGGGAAAATTACACTGGCAGGAACCCAGATTGCTATGGCTCCATCCTCTCTCCATGAAATACCACGAAATACCACTTTGGGAGTTGTTATGTGCTTATCAGGTCTACATGCACTTCTAGTGACATGAGATGTACCTACGTGGTGTAATTCGTTACCTTCTCCCAGCTCAGATCACACTGCAGATGTTGACACTCATATTTCAGCACAGTGCTGCAAAAATGTTTACATGGTGCTGAGGTTGTTGGTTGAGTGAATGAGAACAGACTGCATGATTGAGTACATGCCATTGAGTGACAGAGACAAGGAAAAAATAAAAATACCAAAGTCAGACAGTTATTCAGAGCAAAAGGCTGCCAAATGATGGTTGGTTGGTCTTCTCTGAAGGAGGAGCAAACTGCCATCTCCAGGGAGCTCATCTGAACAAAGGCAGCGCTGGACTGTGGTAGCACTGACCCACACAAAGCAGACAACCAACACCCCCAAAGAGGTCAAATGAACAGTTTTAGTTTGCATTTTGGTTTTAATTCCTTGTATTTTCAACTAAGACATAAAAGGCAAAAGTCCCAAACCTTTCTTTTCATGTTTTCATGCACCAGTGGTAAATGCTTATGTAGGATTTGGCTGTTTCAGCGTGTTTCAGTCTGATTTACGAATGTGTGCTACACACTCAGAAGGGCTGGGTAAGTCCAGAGATGTCACACTCCTCAAAAAACAAAGTAAACAGTTGTGGGGAAAAAAAGAAGTTAAATATTTTTGTAGTTTGATTGGCATCCAAAAGTGTTAAAAAAATGAACAAGGTTATTTCTTCTGGAAAACAGGAGTGAGATTTCTTTTGATGTTGAAATGACATTTTGGTGAGACCTTAAAAGACCTCTGATTGAAGTTCGATCTCTTGAATGAGATTTACAGTTTTGCTTGGTTTAGGCTGTATGCAAAAGCCACTGAGTCAGAGGGAAGGCTTCCAATCGATTTGACAAGATTTTAGATCAGATTGTGCAGTTCAAAGGTTGCCAACACCTTTAACAGCTCAGTGTTTTTTAATTTGGATTTCTTTGATGCAGAGAACAGAAAATGGAATGGAAAAGCATCAGCATAATGCACTTAAAGAGAAAGGTGAGAGAATTTATTCTCATGGCCAAGAAAGAGAGGTCAAGAACTAAACGGGCTTGAACAGCAAGAGTGAAAATTGAGAGGAAGCATTTTGAAAAGCTTTTCCACAGTGATGTCAGTTTGAAGTGTGAGCCTTGTTTAGCAAGAGGAGAGATTGCCTAGGCCAAATGGAGTTTTGGAAGATTTGGGCAAAATCTGTCAGGAAGACTTTGGGGTGGTGACGATGAGGGTAATACTCAAAGACTAGATCAGCCATCTGCTTTGGAGGGAACATTGGGATGAGGGCTGATAATTCCCCTCAAGGCCCCAGAACAACGTGGATGATGTAGTGTTTGTGTGTGATACTCAGGAAGGAGAAAGTATTGGAAAACCAAAAGAGGGTATTTCTGCATCAGACATCACCAGCCTATTCTCTGGCTTCCTAAGGGCAGAAATTATCTGTAAACTTCCATGTTCTTGTCAAGTTTTTTATCCAACAGACCACAGTCCTCAACACAACAAATTATTCATTTGTATTTTAATCGCATGGATATTAATTTGAAACCAAAAGAGTGAATTATTCCTTTGTAAACATTCCTTCCTTTGATTTTAGGTGACGCTCCTTGTGCAACAGATTTCAGCTTAAAAATCTCTGCATTTTATAAATAAGCACAGATCTATTATTGTTTCAGTGAAATTTTCAGTGTTAAAAACAATGCTTCCAACAATTAGAACAGGGTACAGCTACAACACCAAA